TTGCATTTACAAATCAATTTAATGCTTAAGCAAAAAGATTAAATCTACAATATCGTAATTCATTTCAAATAGCCAGTTATTGGAAAATATGCCAAAAAACTTTGTTTAAACTTTTTTTCTGCTCCTTCTAATTCTAATAGTCTTAAATTGCTTAAATTAGACCAATGACATTAATAAAATTGAGAATGGAAATGGGGAATGTGTCAAAGAGACAACAACCCGACCATAGAGCAGACAACAGCCGAAGGCCACCAATGGGTCTTCAATGCAGCGAGAAACTCCCGCACCCGGAGGCGTCCTTCAGCTGGCCCCTAAACAAATATGTATACTAGTTCAGTGATAATGGACGCCATACTAAACTCCAAATTATACACAAGAAACTAAAATTAAAAATGATACAAGACTAACAAAGGCCAGAGGCTCCTGACTTAGGACAGGCGCAAAAATGCGGCGGGGTTAAACAATGAATATTTCTAACTATTTACAAGACTCAAACAAGTATGCTAAAAATAAAATTCGTCGTATTCTAGATGACGCCACTTGTTGTTAGTTCTTAACAAATAAACCCGTCATATTGACCTTTTTTGAAAAAAAAACTAGACTCAGCATTATTTACGAAAGTACAAAGCACTATTGTTTAAAAATTCGTTTTCCGCTTCCATGTAAACGTGGCGTGTTATTCTGAGTCACCATTTATTTAAATATTAACTAACATCTTTTTTTTTAATCAAGAACAATAAAAATGTCCTTGAGTTGAATAAAGCGTCCGTTTTAAGTTTCATCGGTTGAGCTTTAATGACATTTTAACACAATTATTGGACACATATCATAACCTTGACATAACCCTAACATTGTTTAAATACAAGCAAAAAAACCCGGATAATTTCTGTCCAATTTATACAAATGTAGAAATAATATGTTATGTATGCATGCTCTTATGTATTGTATTGTTAAATATGTTAAGTGGAGAAGACTCCATTAGTCTGTTTAACGTGTGTCTAATCCAACTTGTGTTTATGCAAATAAAATATGTTTAAATTTAAAATAAACGAATAATTATTTAACATATGTAATGTCTCTGAAATATCATTAAAACACTGCTTACAACTAATGCAAATTCATTTCTGCAAGGTTATCCAATAAATTCACAGACTTATTTTTTTCATTTATTATACAATAATTTTATCATCTTTCTACCATGAATAAATAGTTTATCTGAAAAGTATATCCTGAATACTTATATAGAGATATAGTTCTTACAACGAGGTATGTATCTTGGTGATTCTTTTGGAGGAGGGATCTAAACGGATACATTTTAGAAGAAAGAAAATCTATTTTTTTCTTCATGTCCATCTCTTGGTGCAGTGTGAAAAATATTATATCATGCGTTTTAAGAATTATTATATTCATACTATCATTACTAATCCTAAATTGATTAAGTATAAACGCTGTAAATTATTAATCATATCATTTGAATGTTCCGTTTTGTATTGTACGTATTGCTGAGTGTGAATTCGCATGGCGGGTGACGCATGCATAGCAGGAGACGCTTACCATATCAACGCACCCGGTCTCGCTCCTTTTGGAGTTCATGCGATCCCCTCAGTTTCTGTTTGTTACCTTTTTTGTCTCTTCCTACTCGGTTTGAACATTAATCTAATGGCCCCAAGTATAAGAATATTGACTAGAGAATCTATAAATTGTGTATCACTGTATTGATTTCACTGTCATTTCTCTTTTAATACATCTTTTGCTTAAAACATTTTGACTAGGAGAGTTTCTCTTGAAGATCTATTTTATGGTCCCCTTTGGTCATATGTCTCTATACGTGTTAAGGTTTAACACATCCTTGGCTTTCAGATGTTGGGTTTAATCGTTGATGAAGATAGATCCAAATAAGCGCTTCGGACCCACGAAATTAATAGTGCTATATTAATTTTCTCTAGAAAAACAAACAGAATAAAGCAAAAAATGTATATTTATTTTAATTTATTGAATACGATAAGTTTTTTTTCTTGTCGTGTATCAAGAATTAACATTTCATTTAAGTGCAAAATTTAATGGGCGATTTATATTTTTAATACAAGGACATTTATACGATCGAATAATGATCCACACCAAGTGTGACTGGGGGATAGAAATATGGGCACTTTGGTCTTCATCCGGCCGGAAGTAAAACCCTGGCTAAAGTGGGATGTCCGTTTGGTTGCGCGGGATGTATAAGTACGTAGCCATCTCCAGTCAGAACGGGGATGTTAAATCATATGCCTCATGTTGAGAAAGGGCCACGCTCTTTGCACGTTGAGAACCCTTGCGACCACTCATTAAGGGTCCGTAAGTGTCCAGTTGCAAGGCCAAATTCCTTTCCCTTTACAATATACATAAATTTCCCGGACCTTTATCTCCGACTGTGTCTTTAAAAATAAATCATCCCTTCGTAAATTTTACGGACGCCATCACGAGTTGGTTGACCGTTATGGAATAACCGTTTCACAGATGATATCGGATATGTTCCTTATGTCGTAACTACAATACCCTTCCCTTTTCACGAATGTGACTTACCGAATTAGACTATTTACCGGATTTGTAATAACATAAGCAACACGACGGGTGCCACATGTGGAGCAGGATCTGCTTACCCTTCCGGAGCACCTGAGATCACCCCCAGTTTTTGGTGGGGTTCGTGTTGCTTAGTCTTTAGTTTTCTATGTTGTGCCATCTGTACTATTATTTGTGTGTTTGTCTTTTTATTTTTGGCCATGGCGTTGTCAGCTTGTTTTCGAATTATGAATTTGACTGTCCCTCTGGTATCTTTCGTCCCTCTTTTACAGGACCTACCTATTGTATTTATTGTAAATTTGTTATCGTCCTGAACATGCATGAAATATTTCCCACTGTACGTTAAGCAACCAATAATTACTCAATCGAATAATGATTAAGATATAGAAATTCCATTTTAACTTGAATACCAACATGCATAATACTATATTTTAAACGTAATGACTTCTGTTTGGTTATCATAAGATGTCCCAATAACCCTATTTTTGATCCATTATACAATAAATTTATCATTTATGTAGAACAAATGTAAATCTTGAATCACACAGGACATCTAAAGAACGCCTAGGAATACACGATCATCTAGTCAAATAAAAGTTAAATATACGTTACTTACCTTGATAAGTTTACGGATATTTTTCGCCACTGTAGGTATGTATATCTTTACATAATTTATCGATGTTTTATTTATATATTTTTTATCTGAAATGATTATTTTCACTTTTGTTAAAGCTGATTTAATGGCTAATGAACGTTACAGTAATGACATAATTTGTTTATTCTAATATCTTAATTACTGATTTATATAACTAGTCTAATCGTTTTTCACAAAGTCTAAAACATGCCTTGATAATTTTTATTCTGTAGTTACAATAACATTAAACGTTCCAAATTTTACTGCAGTCGACAATTAATATATTGTCGAAGTGATTGAAAATCAAAATCCTAATGCAAATGTTGATGAGCAGATATAACCAAAAAGGGCTAACAGTATAGCCAAACCCGGACAACCTTAATAATCATACAAAAATCCAAGAACACATCTGATGTTGAAATATACTTAGAATATTTTTTTTGGGGCGTCGGTATGAATTTACCTCATTCAGTCTGTACGTCTATCCACATAATAGGTATATGGTGTGTCCGTCGAGCTTCACTTACAATTTAAAAGGCAAGATATTTTTGTTTTATAGAACAGTTGGAATTTTCCCAAAAAGGGTACATTGTTTGTCTCTCATACTTCCTTTACGTTCTCTTGTCCTCGAATGTAGCCTACCGAATTAGACTTATCACCGGGTTTGTACTTACATGAGCAACACGACAGGTGCTACATGTTGAGCATGATCTGCTTACCCTCCCAGAGCACCTGAGATCATCCCCGGTTTTTGGCACGTGTTGCTCAGTCTCTTGTTTTCTATGTTGTGTTCTGTATACGGTTCTTTGTTTTTTGGTCGCTTTTCGTTTTTTGCCATTCCGTTGTCAGTTTGTTCTTGACTTATGAGTTTGACTGTCCCTTTGGTATCTATCGCCTCTCTTTTACAGTTTATATGGTAAACCCTTATTATTTAGTAGAACATGTGGACATTTGTATATAATAAAATTATGCATGTCGACAGGATTCTAATTTGTTTAACTTAATTTTTTTTTTAAATACCAGTTATGGAGAAATTACCAATATGAGGCACAGAAGTTGTCTGCCAAATTCCTCGTAAAGCTTACATACTTGTACCTTTTCATTGTGCCCAAAAAATTGTGCAAGTGCGAAAGATTTTGATTTTCCCAATTTTTCATAAAATGTTTTTGGACAATTTTAGGGAAATTCTCAAATGGTGTAGAGTTTTTTTTCCTGTCGAACACGCGTCTGTTTACACGATAAAACGTTTTTATTTTATAGAACATTATATTGAAGTACATTATTATATGCACTGAAAATGTGGACAGAATTCTGCTTTTCTTCAATTTTTATTAAAATTACCAATTCTTGTATTGTCATTTCGGGTTAATGTTTGGTCTGTGGAAGGTTCTTAGAGTTTAGCTGATATAACTTGTTATATTGTGTAGAACAGTTGCACAGAATGTTCATGTAGACAAACATGACAATTATTGTCTTTGTAATTTGCCAAATAAATGTACATGGTAATACTGAAAAAGTGAATGTTATAAAATTTTTGATTTTCACAAGATTGTAATTTATGTTTTCAGTCCTGTTTACATCTAATTTGTAAAGTAACAGTGATGACATGATAAGTGATCATTAGCCCATTAGACAGAGTTTTATATAGTTATTTGATATTTCTTCAATAATGATACGTGAAAAAATCCATTTGACAAAAAACGTTAAATTTGTTAAATTCTAAGGATGTCGTAGTCTTTTTATGAGCAGGTGTTCTTATTCTAATGTTGATTTCCGTTTTATGCGTTATTATTGGTATCTTCGACGTTTGTTAATTTTTTATATGTGGTTTCAAGCAGAATAGACACGAAATAAATTAGCATAACTATGGTCAACTTAATCGGAAAATCGCAATTTTAAACTCCCTTTATTTCTAATTCAACTTGAATCTTTCTACACAAACGAATATACCAGTTAAAAGGGGTTAACGTTTTGTTTGAAGAAAAGCCGAAGTGTGGGCGTAAATTACCGACAACGTCCGAGTACTAACAAACACTACTACAGACCTTTAAAAACCAATACACTGAACATTTGGCACATAGCCATACCAAACAGCTAGTTCAATCATACGATGTCTGGTGTGAAAAAGAGTTATTCTGGATTTTTTATTTCACCGGGGAAGCTCTAAGCTCTCAGTCAACAACTTTGAAGCTAAGGTAAGAATATTGGAAGCAATAAAAACTAAACTACATATTAAAAACCGAAAATTATAATGGTTCTTTGCACTGAGGTGTTGGACGCTTGATTTAAAGTGAATTTACAAAGTTCATGATTAAACCGATAATTTCATAAAAAAAGTTCATAATTGATAAAACTGATAAATCCATAAAAATTATCTAATTAATCAAGTGATCGTCAGGCATATGTATGTACTTTGATAAGTGCACGGACGTATATTTTAGCTGAAGGTATGTTTTTTTTTAAAGTAATAAAAATCATGATTTTATCTTTTAATTACTCTCTTCTTTTACAAATACAATTGCATGGGAGTTGAGAATATGCATTTTCGTAGAAATTTTTTCACAGCATTAGATATTATTAGATCGAAAATTGATAAAACCTGAAATTCTAATTTCAAGTGGCTCGAAATCAGGAACCAAGAAGTAATTTTTAATTTCAATAAAAGGCAATTTGGGTATAGGTCAAAACACACAAAAAACAGAAAATGAACGAGACCAAATTACAATCATGAGCAATAATAAGACAAGTATGTATATGTCAATTTAAGTTCAAATCAACTAAAGTCTAGTCAAAATCTATATCTCATTACTTAAACAATCATAAAGGTTTGTGACCTCATCTGTTAATTCGAACTGGTGATGTTAATAATTTTTGAAACATGATTGTACCACAAATTTGCAGATTTAACATTGTTGTGCTAAACAGGCGAATATATATGCATGTAAATTGTCTTGTTAGACCAGAAAAGCGCTAGGTCGATACCGATGCTGGGAGACTACTAGCTGGTCCCCCAGGGTATCATAAGCTAAACTCTTAACCTATTACGAAACACATGTTCCAACTCCCTCAGACAAAGTTTTCCTTGGATGTATTTGGTTGTTCTATTTAGGTCCCTTTTAGTCATATGGACCCTCATTAACTCAAGTTATATCCATGGCTTTCAAATCTTTTTGGTTGAGCGTTCCTGATAATAAATCCAGAAAAGTGCAACGGAGGAACCAAATTTATCTTGCCGACAAATCAGTCAATCCGTAAAGTATTCCAAACCTAAATGCAGCCGACGTGGAAAGGTGGCACTCGACTAACGATATCTACATTTTTTTAAGCCTAGTTGGCCGAGTGGTCTGGATCGCTGTACACAGTGCAGACACAGTACCATGATTTCACAGTTGCATGGGTTCAAATCTCGCCGAGAGAAGGAAATCATTTAACTACCAAAGATCTGATTTTGTGCTAAATATCAGACGGAGTTTAAGAATTTAAATATTACATTTCATATTTGCCATTAGAACGTATATTCAATGTGACATCACCAATTTAAATGCAGAAATAACGTTTAAGGTGGTACAAAACACTACAGGGAGATAACTCTGTAAAAATCAGCTGAACGTTTTAATCACATTCTATTGTTAAGGAAATATTAAGCTTCTTAATGATCAAAATCAGTGTTTGTCAAACTGCTATATATCCAATGAAATTTTTCCAATAAAGTGTTTGGTTCAAGTTTTTTGAAATTTTTATACTTTTGTCAAAGGGTCAAAGTAAATATTTTGTCATAAACTGTATGAAAATTAAACGAGCTAAAATAATTTTAGTCAAGGTGTTTGGTACCACCTTAAATTTAAAGTGTTTTATTTATTTATGCAATCTATTCCTATAAAGAAATAACTAAATAACTAAAACAGTAAGCCCCTCCTTGTCGATGCAAAAATAAAAATGCAACTTAAATTTCCGATGTTGCATTATCTAGGCGTTGGATCTTACATAATTAACATACATTGTTTAAAAGATATTTGAATGAATTGTCTTACGGTTTTATTGTCGTCGTGTTAAAATATTGTCAAAATTTAAAATTAAGCCTTGACATCGTTGAAGATCACCTTCCTTCAAAGTCATGTCAGTATTAGTTTGTTCAACTTGAGAGATATCAAAAGATCCAAAGGTATAGATAGATTTTTAAACGTCGATAGTTTTTGTTTAGTAGTAAATGAATCATCTCTGTATTGTCATTCAGGTTTAATAACTCATACAGTTAACGTAAGTAATTTTTTTTTTAAATAATTTTTGACTTTTTACACTTTGGTCAATAAAATACTTATTGGATATGAAAAGAGAACAGAATGTTATGGATCTCTGAAATTTAAAAAAATGTTTAATTCGTTTTGTTTCTTACAATACATGTACAGCCTTTCCGGTACAAATATGTAATAATTTGCATGATAAATTACTTTTTGGGGAAATAAAAATAAGCTCATATCATGGTATTAATATGATTATTGCTGTTGAAATTAAAATATCTGGACAGCCAAGATAGAATATTTCAGGTTTTTTTAATTTTACATATTGATATTCACTTGACTTTGGTGGGAAAAAGAAAAAGGTCGATAACTGATGATTTTTATCGCTTCAACAATTGAGATTATTTTAGTTCAAATAAATGAAGGAACGGAAAATGTAACAAATATCAATTTCAACTACTTATATTGATCAAGAAGTTACACCCATCATTGTCTATTTTACATATTGATATTCACTTGACTTTGGTGGGAAAAAGAAAAAGGTCGATAACTGATGATTTTAATCGCTTCACCACTTGAGAATATTTTAGTTCAAATAAATGAAGGAACGGAAAATGTAACAAATATCAATTTCAACTACTTATATTGATCAAGATGTTACATCCATCATTGTCTAGACAGGTTTTGAAAACTGTTGGCACTTGGTAGCATAAGATCTTTTAAAAGCATAAAATCTTTTAAATTAAAAGTTTTTATTAATGGATTTAAAGTCATATGAAACGAATTTCAAAACATTTAAAGTTCAGGAAATTATTGAACCAATGCATGCATATATACTAAACTATGTCCTCTGTGCACGTTTTTAACATTTATTACGAATCTATAACGTATTTTCAGTGATTGTTGATCGCAAGCTCATTAACTTTCGAGTAAGTTGCCGAAGTTTGCCGGCTCGTGACATTGATAAACAATCAACACAGAAGCATGTGGAGCATGTAAAAAATAAGTGAATTAAAAGAGCGATTTTATTTTTTTATATTTTTCTATGCGTTCCCATGTGTTTAATAAACTTTTCAATAACTGTTGTTAAACGATTTTGTGTATTTAACATGTTATTTAAGAATCAATTATTACTATATACCTTCCAGTGCACGTTTGTTTAAATTCTGTCATCACGGTTTTCCCTCGCACATGTGCTGTGCGGTGGTCGAAGTTCTAACGAGCGGATAAATATCGACGAATAAGAATACGGGAAGACAATAATTCAATAGCAGTACATTTCTGAAGATTTTGATATCCACAAGAAAGTCCATGTACAATTGCTTTATAATACAACTTAGCAATTCAAGTATATAAAACATATTCAACTTTTTTTTTAAATTTGAAGTTTCATATGACTTTACTTTTGACTTTTAAAAGGGACAAGTCAGAGCCACCATCTGTGGCGCAGGACGTTTGCATTTTTTGATAGGAAGTTTGTGTTTTGAATTTTTATGACATAATGCTTTTAAAAAGATTCTTTTCTACAAGGATAAGGACCGACAGGTTTAACCAGGAGGAGTAAAGTCATTTTGTTAAACATGTAATGAATTATTTATTGTTGTTTACTTTACGTCTAGTGGCAAATATTTCGTGCATGTTCAGGACACCAACAAGTAAATAATAAATACAATAGGTAGGTACTGTAGTAGCGGTCGACCGGGATGATGGGCGAGCAATTTGAAATGCTTCTTGGAAATAATAGGGTATATTGGATAAGGACAAACATTTTGAAGGCCACCCACAGACCATAAAAGAGTTAATGTAAGGATTCTGAACGCACAGAGAGCGTGACACTATATCAACGCGAGGATCCGGATTTAACGACCCCATTCTGACCGGACGTATCTGCATATTTATACATCCCACACAGTCAAACGGACGCCCCACTTTGTAAATGGTTTTACTGCTCTGCACCATTTGTGATTCGTTTACTGTATGATGTTTGCTCAACCCATAGTGTTGCTTTCAGGCGAAAAGCACAACTGTCCGGTCAACGTAAAACATTAAAAGCGTAGGTGTTCCATCATGTTTGGATCACAAATGTCGTTACAGATCAAAAAGGGCACACATCCATGATCTGATTATAAACCAAGCAAAGACACGTGATCAATAGCATAACGTCCATGTAGTTCTGAAATATGAACACAATCTAGTTTTACCTCCCACTTTTAAACTGCCTGCATACTAAAAAAGTATAAAGATAAAAAACGGTTATAAAGAAATGCATGACATATTTGACCAAAAAAATACGCCATCAATTGCTATAACTGAACCGATGCATTGTGACTTTCTCATTTAGTCATGACAAAGATAGAGATACAAATTCACTTTTGTTGTTGCTATTCCAATTGGCATACTGTATCATATTCGATTTGACTGTATTTAAAGAAGATTTGATTTAAAAGAAATGAAAAAGGAGTCATATATTGCGGATTTATATCCATTTTATATCATATACATCTAACAGGGTGTCGACTCTATATACTTAAACAAAATTTCTTAAACAAACTTACGATTCTAAACTCTTATTTACCACGTGAAGGCATTTAGGTAAGAAGATACTTTAGTTATGATCGTCCTGAACATGCACGAAATATTTGCCACTGGACGTTAAGCAACCAAGAATCAATCAATCTATAGTCCGTTTGAGTTTTATTGATTTAAATAAAAATCAGATTTTAGTTATGTTGTTTATTTTGCGGTTCATATTTATCTATTTGGAATAAAATTTGACGGTAAATGCACTTGTTTGCTTACGTTATTAAAAAGTCATCCATCATCATTTTAAATAAAAAGTTTTTATTAATGGATTTAAAGTCATATGAAACGATTTTCAAAACATTTAAAGTTCAGAAAATTATTGAACCAATGCATGCATATATACTAAACTATGTCCTCTATGCACGTTTTTAACATTTATTATGAATCTATAACGTATTTTCAGTGATTGTTGATCGAAGGCTCATTAACTTTCGAGTTAGTTGCCGAAGTTTGTCGGATCGTGACATTGATAAACAATCAACACAGAAGCATGTGGAGCATGTAAAAAATAAGTGAATTGAAAGAGCGATGTTAATTTTTAATATTTTTCTATGCGTTCCCATGTGTTTAATAAACTTTTCAATAACTGTTGTTAAACGATTTTGTGTATTTAATATGTTATTTAAGAATCAATTATTACTATTTACCTTCCAGTGCACGTTTGTTTAAATTCTGTCATCACGGTTTTCCCTCGCACATGTGCTGTGCGGTGGTCGAAGTTCTAACGAGCGGATAAATATCGACGAATAAGAATACGGGAAGACAATAATTCAATAGCAGTACATTTCTGAAGATTTTGATATTCACCAGAAAGTCCATCCATGTACACTTGCTTTATAATACAACTTAGCCCGATTCAAGTATATAAAACATATTCAATTTTTTTATAGAATTAAAAATGTTTCATATGACTTTACTTTTGACTTTTAAAAGGGACAAGTCAGAGCCACCATCTGTGGCGCAGGACGTTTGCATTATTTGATAGGAAATTTGTGTTTTGAATTTTTATGACATAATGCTTTTAAACAAGATTTTTTTCTACAGGGATAAGGACCGATAGGTTTAACCAGGAGGAGTAAAGTCATTTTGTTCAACATTTAATGAATTATTTATTGTTGTTTACTTTACGTCTAGTGGCAAATATTTCATGCATGTTCAGGACGCCAACAGGTTAATAATAAATACAATAAGTAGGCACTGTAGTAGCGGTCGACCGGGATGATGGGCGAGCAATTTGAAATGCTTCTTGAAAATAATAGGGTATATTGGATAAGGACAAACATTTTGAAGGCAACCCACAGACCCTAAGAGAGTTAATGTAAGGATTCTGAACGCACAGAGAGCGTGACGCTATCTCAACGCGAGGATCCGGATTTAACGACCCCATTCTGACCGGACGTGTCTGCATATTTATACATCCCACACAGTAAAACGGACGCCCCACTTTGTAAATGGTTTTACTGCTCTGCACCATTTGTGATTCGTTTACTGTATGATGTTTGCTCAACCCATAGTGTTGCTTTCAGGCGAAAAGCACAACTGTCCGGTCAACGTAAAACATTTAAAGCGTAGGTGTTCCATCATGTTTGGATCACAAATGTCGTTACAGGTAAAAAAAGGGCACACATCCATGATCTGATTATAAACCAAGCAAAGACACGTGATCAATAGCATAACGTCCATGTAGTTCTGAAATATGAACACAATCTAGTTTTACCTCCCACTTTTAAACTGTCCTGCATATAAAGATAAAAAACGGTTATAAAGAAATGCATGACATATTTGACCAAAAAAGATACGCCATCAATTGCTATAACTGAACCGATGCATTGTGACTTTCTCATTTAGTCATGACAAAGATAAAGATACAAATTATTTTTTGTTGTTACATTTCCAGTTGACATACTGTATCATATTCGATTCGACTGTATTTAAAGAAGATTTGATTTAAAAGAAATGAAAAAGTAGTCATATATTGCGTATTTATATCCATTGTATATCATATACATCTAACAGGGTGTCGAATCTATATACTTAACAAAAAATGTCTTAAACAAACTTACGATTCTAAACTCTTATTTACCACGTGAAGGCATTTAGGTAAGAAGACACTTTAGTCATGATCGTCCTGAACATGCACGAAATATTTGCTACTGGACGTTAAGCAACCAAGAATCAATCAATCTATAGTCCGTTTGAGTTTTATTGATTTAAATAAAAATCAGATTTTAGTTATGTTGTTCATTTTGCGGTTCATATTTATCTATTTGGAATAAAATTTGACGGTAAATGCACTTTTTTTGCTAACGTTATTAAAAAGTCATCCATCATCATTTTTTAACAAGGGTAATGCAAAGGTATTGGAGTGAATAATTAAATTGACCGTATAGCACCTAGCTAGTTGTTCTATTCACAATTATATACAACATACAATTTAAATTTCAACAGCGTTCATGATCAGCGGTCAAGCGTCTGCCGTTTGTATTTTAGTGAATGGTACTGTTAGTGTCAACTAAATGGCTGTTGTGTCTGGGAACACCTAACAAAACCCTTGCATGACCTTAACAAAAACGTTACCTTTGACGAGGTAGTTTGCAAGTAAACTGCCACAAATACTACTAAATTTTAAAATTTACAATTAAGATGTAACTAATATAATCAGCGTCGCACTTTTGATGGTGCGTGGGCTGTTTTGCTCGTGTATGTATTTAAATTTACCCCTGAGGGTGTTAGTCTGATGTGGTATATAATTATAATTTGAACAATGATTTGATGTTAAATGCAAGGTGATAGTTTTTTTCAATAATTATACCCTACTTGACGAAATTCGGGGGTATACAGGAATCACTGTCTAGTCTGTCCGTGTAAGTCGTACCCGGTTCAAAACATTAAATGCGTTAAAAGATTTTAATGATACTTGGTATTATTTGTTGGTCAACACCGTAGTGTGTCGCGATTAAGGTTGAAATGTCTGCCAGTCTGGAAGGTCCGTGCCGTAAACTTATTAAAATGTACGAAGTTGTACCTATGTAATTTGCTGTACAACTATGACTGCCTTGAATGATATTGGTGTGTGTTTCCAACCAAATTGCTAAATAGGCAATGTGTTTACTTTCGTAGCTTTGTACATGTATATAAATACATGTACATATATCATTTTGGGAGCTTGGCTCTCCAGTACGTCTAATTGGTACAGTTATCTTTCAGGATTTAACATTATTTTATAAGATATAGCCTCTTGTGGAGAGTTGTCTCATTGGCAATCATACCACATCTTTTTATTTTTATATATGATGGGTATCCAATTACATTTAATGACACCATGGCGCAGTCTACAAGAAGTTATATGAACTAAAAACCTTTTCACTGCGATATTTACTCTTTGCAAACAGTTCACGCTGTATTTGTTTTTATTTGAATTGTATAATGAAATGAAACGCGAACAATATAAACATTGCGAAGATTTAACTGTCCCTCGTAAGGCAAAAACCGCAAGCTGGATAATATTAAACCCATGACAACCAACGGAAGTTATATTCATATGACGGTTATCTTTGTATTTGCAAAAACAAACAAACAAAGAATGTACTATAAAAATCAAAACGTGTCCACTGTACCATAAATCGATTAATTTAGCATCCTTTTGTTTATTTTTATTTTTGGTTTCAGCGGTAGTTTTTATGATGGAAGTTTTGACATGTTGACATAATAATAAATCGTTATGTTATTTTTGACATGATTTTTTTACATACAAAAGCAGGTTAAGCAGAGTACTTGATTAAAGTACCTTAAGTATACTTGTGTAAATGACGTGAATGTAGTTGCATTGAAGGGGAAATTGATATTAAGGATTAAGTAGTTATTGAGGTAGATATAGAATTTATAGAATTTATTGTTGAAAGATTTGATTTTCCAAAATTTCCCAGAGTGTCAAACTGATCTAAATTCGAACATGGTACTTTTAAAAATACTATCTTTTTCAACATAAGCTTCTTTTAAGAAAAATCAATAAAATTAACATTGTGCTATAGTCATGTATTGTATTTCAAAGGAAGACTATAAGGTACTTATAGTGTGAAACATTTTCAATTCGATCTTTTAAAAACAAATAAAACTGTAAAGAGGTATTATCTGGCCTCCGAAATTTAAAGTATATATGTAAAAATAATCTATATGCACGTTCAGATTCAGGCGGGGCGCACCCCCCCCCCCCCCAAAAAAAAAAAACACACATTTTTTTTTTAATGTAATAAAGGTGAATTTATTCAGCCATTTTTGCGTCAAAATAAGAGTCTTATTCCTTATTCTCAGGATGCTCCCCTACATCCAGTCCTGGACCCGAGCATGATATACTTTAGAACACAAATGTCCGTTGTGATGTAATAATTATGTCGAAATTGGCTTATCCGTATTTTGTTCTAAAATGGTAATTCAGTTACACATAGTTTTTAACTATATTTGACATTTAATTTTAGTCAAGAAAAAAAGGGGATTTTCTCAAAATTGAATATAATTGTATATGGTAACCGGTAGGAATAATATCATTTTGTTTTAGGTCTTGTTGATATCTATATCCTTGATAGAAATCCGGACAGTTTGGCAGTTTTAGCAGATTTGCATACTATGGACGAAAAATAAGCACTAGAAAAATATGAAAGACACAGTTTAAACCTCTTATCTGACAGACTAATGTCTTGTGAACATCTAAGGAATGTTACGTGATAGATCCAAGACCTTTCTAATTTTCGAATTAAAGGGCCCAAAAAATGGCCTTATCATTCCTTCTCCTTTATCGATATAAGTAGTTACCTCTGATTAAGCGGTCATATTTTTTCTCCAAGCTTCTTCGGTTTTAACGGATTTCGTTTTGTTCAATCTTCAGCTGCTTTTTTACAAATTTTGTTTACTTTTTTTTTTACTTGTGCCATGCCCTTGTGTTTTATTTACCATCGCTTGTCATCTTCCTTTAAAATAATCAAATATCTAAAGAGAATTTGATAATGTGTTGCAGAAAATTATTTTAATATTATGTTTACTACATATATTTGCGGGATCACATATAATTATACATATGAATTTAAAAAGATAAGCATTTTCTAAATTATGTCATTTTATGTTTCAGGTTTTAAATCTTTTATAACAAAATGTCGTGGGGATACGGAAACGACAATGGTAAGTTTTTTCTAGTTCAAATGTCGTTTCATTCTTCAATTACAATCATACACAAAGTATGTGCAACATGAGTACACTTACAAATCAACTAAAACAAATCAGAGAAAAGATAGATAAATTTGGTGCGTCCGAATGAATTTCTGGATATTAATATATATATATTAATCAGTCTAGGTGGCCGAGCGGTCTAGAGCGCTGGACACAGTGCAGGCGGTGTTGTCTCGATATCCCAATAGCATGAGTTCGAATCCCGGCGAGGGAAGAACAAAAGTTTGCTTTCGCAAATTTGCAGATTTAACATTGTTGTGCTTATATTTATAAATACAATACTAAGCCAGTTCTGGAACAGGTTGTAAAAAGACAAAAACCAAAACTATCCTGATAATGAATTGATATGGGAAGATAATTAGTTCCATGGGATAGCTACTGTTCATTTGATTAAAGAAATATATGATTGTCAGGTACATTGTCATTCGGTCAAAAATTCTTCATGTGAAGAAAGGAGGTCAACATGTATAGGGACACAATTTTGCCTCCATATAAGCATAACTGCTCTGTCTGTAATTTCAGAGTCCTGTTAGTCGTAAAAAAGTCGATGGTCGCCAAAATAGATACATGGTGGTAAAAAACGCTAATTTTTTGTCAAAATTAATATCAGTAAGAACTAAGACCATGTAGATCTTTTGTGGTAGTTTATATAGCTAAACATTCTTAGCAACATGCAGCGTAACACTCTACTGCATGTTACACGATGATCTTTTGAAGTTGGAACGTATATTTACATTAAAATCTGAAGTTATTTTATTATTGAAATTGCTTCATTTGCTATTTTCAGCGAAAAAAACCGGAAGTGGCATTCTGTTGTCAAAATTTCTCATTTGAAATTTGACTTTTCTCATTTTTATCTTGACATTTCTCACTTCCATCTTCATAATTCTCATTTCAAACTCTGAACTGAGAAATGTCATTTTGGAAATAAGTATAATTTAAACAACAGAATGTCTACTACCCTTTTATGATATCGCGCATTAGTAAAAAATAGATAGCCAAAGTGTTACTTGTAACGTTATAGACGTTATAGACATTTTGAGCTCGTGCAATAAATCGAAAAGTTAAAAAAAAATTGATCACTAGATGGCTTTGAATAACTTTGATATGACCTTTATTATATTTTAAGAGTGTTACAAACTACTAAAGGTTGTATCATGAATATTCAATAAGGTTGTTCTAAGGTGAAAGTCGTAACCTCGGTTGAACATTTCCTATTCATTGTAATAAATTCTTAGAACTTTTTTTTAAATTGCTTGAAGCAAAAGAATGATAATTTCGCTTAACAGTAGAAGTTTGACATTTATAACTCGAGTTTCTTTTTTTTTAAGATCAAAAGTAACAAACCGTGTATGTTTTATCATGGAAGTAATATTAACTATTACTTCCATGGTTTTATAAACTAATACGTAACATGTGAAGCAAGAGACAATTTAGTATTCATTTGCTAAGATACCTTTCGTTTCTTACTGAAAATCAATTGTAAAAGGATATTTGTCGCAGATTCGTAGATGAGAAAGTGTTCTTATACGTGCAACAAATGTATTGGAAACTAAGGGCAAAATTGTGTCCCTGTTGACCACCTTTCGTCATATGAAGAATCTCAGATCGAATAAAAAATGTACAGGACAAAGAACAGTAGGTACCACATGGAGCTATTTTTCCTCATCATATCAATTAATTATCAATCCAAAAGACAAGGAAGGAATCTGACCGTGATGAATGGCGGAAACATATTGGATAGGGGAAAATTTGTTTTGCTGTCGCGACACTAGTCAAGTACGGACCAGTCAAAGAATATATATATATATATAAATGTTATTTAACGGGCATAAATCATTGGACTGTTATCAACGAAAGGCTCGGGATGGAAATTCCCATTCCGAACTGACGTGGCAGCGTAGTTATGCATCTCGGAGAGCATAACTGACGCCCTCTTTATCATAGGTTTTAAAGCTGGATGGGAAAAGTTCAGATGACCATATTTCAATACCTAGTACATTGTTGATTTACTGTAGTAATTGGTTTACATCCTTAAAACATGTAAACCCATGAACTTTTATGTAACAAACAATCAATCGGTTAGAAATCTCCAAATTTTCTAGTAAACCTCGGGGCTTTGAAAGGAACCTTCCAGTCGTACTTGGTTTCAACTGGTCTTGCAGTTTTCCACTAATTTCCCATGGACTTCCACAAACTTGCATCCATAACGGAATCACAATCAACACCTAAATACTAAATACAATATAAATACCATTCAAGGAACATTCCTGTTATAAATAGATATAAGAAGATATGGTATGAGTGCCAATGAGACAACTCTCAATCCAAGTCACAATTTGTAAAAGTAAACCATTATAGGTCAATGTACGGTCTTCAACACGGAGCCTTGGCTCACACCGAACAGTAAGTTATAAAGGGCCCCAAAAATAACTAGTGTAAAACCATTCAAACGGGAAAACCAACGGTCTAATCTATATAAAAAACGAGAAACACTTATGAACCACATCAGCAAACGACAACTACTGAACATCAGATTCCTGACTTAGGACAGGTGCAAACAAATGCAGCGGGTTTAAATGACTTTAATTGGTTCTGAAAACGATTTCTACATATTATGTTTAATAGTCTCTATTGTGGAAATTTTAGGGAAAAATCCTCTATGTGTCATGCAAGAAATCCTTGTTTTAATTGGCTGAGAGACTCATGTGCATATATATTGTCTTTTGGTTAATATTTCTCATTTCAATGCAAAGCAAATACGTAGCAGTAAAATATCTAAATATGAGTGAAACGTTCTCTCTCCCACATTTTGTTAATGTGTTAAAACAAATTCAAATGATAACTCTAATACTGTGGATTCGTCAAAGCAGCTGAATCACAAAGAGCACGATACATTCCAAACATGAGACAGAATTTATTTAAGCCAAATGGACGCACGCCTTATCAACACGGGTCTTTCCGTTTAACCTTTGGGATCGGAATAACAAATAATTACATTCTAGTATTTTATTCTTTCTCTTACTTCATTTGTATTCTGAATGTTAAATTAAAACATTTTATTATTTCAAAAATGAAATTCCACAAGTTTAATGTTCCATCAACTTACAAGACTACAAGGATATATTGAAAAGGAAAACTAATCATTAAAGCGTATACGCAATAATTATATTTATGTATTATACTTTTTTATTAGTATTGCTATCAAAACAACTCTATTAAAAACGAAAACAACATAACAAATGGTCATCACTCAACTTTATTTGTTTAAAAATCATCGTACAACGCGGGAAAAATCCTTGGCTTCTGACAAGTATTTGAGTTATAAAGTAAAGCGATAAGACACAAAAGCAAACACCTTGAAATACTTGGGACATTTAATCTGCACGGCCTGGAATAAGAACACTACACTAAAACAATTGGGTTAAATCAAGGAAGAGTAAAGATATAAAAGATTAGGTAAACAGATCTATTTTAAAATAGATAAAGATATAAACAAATCTTTGTGTTATTGCTGCTAGATATATCAACTTATTTATAAACAACTAATGAAATACATTTAATGCATGCTATTTATCTTTACAAATTAAAAAGCGTGCACATTTTCGGTGCCTGGACAACTACATATATATTTGGCACAATAGATAACATAAAAATGAGAAAGTCATAAGTTTAGGATGGAACAATAAATAGATTATTCTATGTCTGTTTTTACTTTCTGAACCCGCTTTTAGACGAGATTTTAAAAATACGATTTTTATGGACAAGCCGCAAAAATTATAATATTTTACTTCACAGATTGTTCTTTGCTAAACGTTGCTTAAAGTGTTCATTTTACAACGTTTGAAGTTAAATGGCAAGATAAATTAACGATGCAAACACATTTTTTATTAGGACCATGTACTTGGTGTAAGCAGTTCCCTATTGCCAACGGGAAAAGACAATCGCCAATCGACATTGTTCCAGACAAGATAACCTTTGATCAACAATTAGCAAATTCTCCATTGGTTGTCAAATATGAAAAAGAACAAAAAGCTGAAGCAATGAACACAGGAAAATCAGTAAAAGTACAAGCAACCAAATCATCAGGTACTTAGATTAGAATATAAATAGTTACTGGAACTGTACAGTGTTAATCATTTTCATTGAGTTATAGAATATACACACTTGCGATCCCAAAATGATATGGACAACATGCATGTAAATATTAAACTTAATAGCAAAAAGTCCAGTTCCGGGAAAAGGGAGGGTAGATTAGTACATAACTTCATTATTTCTTTAGCATATATCAAATATTTAATTTTTTGTCAGATTGTGGCAATGAATTGCAAAAAAAAAGGACTAAAATGAAGAACTATATATATATATATCTATAAAAGACAAGCTGCAAAATGTAACAATTTATCACAGCTAGCAGCCTATTTGCTGTAGGATGTCAGAACTCAAAACCTAATTTGATATATTTCATCTAAAAAATTAAAGCCTGTCGTATATACTATTTCTTAAAAGTTCAGCTCATATTTTAGCACGCCTCCTCATAGGAATAACCCCTCCCCTGGAACTCCACGTTTTTGTAATGATATATCAAGCCAGTTGTAGATAACTTGCACTTTTTCACAACCTTTTGATTTTCCTTTTACAAATTTAACTTAATAATTGTATTTTAATTGCATGAATTTTAAAAACACTGAAAAGCGTTTTTGATATTTCAGAAATTAAAGGAGGCCCTTTAACAGGGACATACAGGTTAGAACAGTTTCATTTTCATTGGGGAGCAGATGACAACAAAGGTTCTGAACACACAATCAATGGCAAGATGTACGCTGCAGAGGTAAATTATCAGTTAAATAGGAAATAAGGAGCCATAAGCATATTTAAAATGAATATTTTAAAGTTGCAAGTGACATAGATTGAAAGTTCTACGGAAAACAAATAATATGTCTGCGTTGTTTTATGTTTTCATTGGAAATAGTAAAGTTCAGGTAAACAGACATGAGTGTTTAATTTATATGCATGCGTTACCTTATAAGTCATATGAAGAAAAATACTAAATAAAAGTTGATAATTGTTTGTCACAGTGCAATTGACTAGTATGTATACAACAGCACCTGTAAACTACTTTTAAGTGTCGAATTGAAGATATAACAAACGTTTATATGGTTTTTTTTTCAAATTTCCTATTTAAAAAAAAAGAAATTTTATTATCGTCTGATATGCTCGGTAAAGTTTTTACTTGTTTTATAAGCGCATATAATTGTTTATTAGACATTTTCAAATTAAGACTGAAGACCTACTTCAGTTTTGACAATGAAATATATTAATGAATGTTGTAATTAAATTAAAATATTGCATAGAACCATGAAAGTATTTTTTATTTCAGCTGCATTTAGTACATTACAATACCAAATATCCCAATTTTGGAGCGGCTGTAGATAAACCAGATGGCCTTGCAGTGTTTGGATTTTTTATCAAGGTATGTAGTGGAGAGTGGAGCTATATCCGCTTGCCTCTATTTCTATTGTGTTTTCATACTACTATATTCAATATATGAGGTAAAGTTTTTCTAACAGAGGTAGAAGACACCTAAATGAGAATAAACAATCGAAGGTCGAAGAAAACGACAATACCATGGCAAAAAAAACCGAAAAACGGTCAAAAGACAAACAACAGTCTTAAACTCTACATAGAAAACTAAGACAACAAGTGGCCAACCAGAAACCGGGCATGATTTCAGGTGCTCTGGAAAGGTAAGCATATCATGATCCATATGTGGCACCTGACGTGATGCTCGTTTCATATACTCAACTCTAATGACTTTTTTTCATTAGGACTACATACTCTAATTAATAAATTACAGTGAAGACTTACTGAGTGTGCGTATACACAGTAAAATAAGCTTACGTCTCTATTTGAAATAATCCTGCATCTAAATGCGCATATATAAATATTTCGTCTTGGATTCAGCCAAAAATTGTACGAACTGCATTTTTGTGTATACATTTTTCGAAGATTTGATATACATCCGTATAAAACAACAATTTACTCTCGTATAAATAGAATTCCACAAGTTATATGTATTTTCATCACAGTTTATATGAACGTCATTTACAATCATTTTTGAATGGATTAATTGTTGTTTGCTTAGTGTCCAGGGGCAAGTATTCAAGACGAAAACTAATCAAATAAACACATAAAAAGGGGGTAAAGCACATTATGTTTGTACCGGGATGAATGGCGAGACATTCAGACTTTTGATGAAAAAGGAGTATATTTTTTATGTTCAATAAGTGCAGACATTTTGCCTAGCAACAGGCCGCCTATGGACCTCTCAAGAGTTGTCGAGAGTTGTTTAACATGAAGAGGGTATGACCCACTCTATTTGAGGTATCGGGATTTAACGTCCTCATTCCGATCAGAAGTGGCTGTGAATTTAAACAGAGCATGTTGTTTTTTTACCGAACACAAAACCTAGATAATAAAATATATGTAAAAAAAAATAAAATGTTTAAATCAATAAATATTTTGGATTATAAATATCGTGCATCAGTATGAGCAGTCTGGTGTAAAATGGCATCGCTAGCTATGCTAATTTTCAAAAATCTTGATTGTTATACAAACACCGAACATCGTTTTCAGAAAAGTTAAAGTTACAAGTCAATAATCTTGAACTTCATACAAATTAATTGAAAACAAAAGATGGAAAGTTTTCTAAAACTCTAAACTTTCCATCTAATTTTTGAAGAGTCATATGCTCTATTATATGCAGTTTTGTCACTTTATCCCGGTCTATCTTCAAAACCTACCTTCAGGTATTTCTGTATTGCTGAATAATTTCTCTTTTTAAATATGAATATTAATTATTTGTTACTTGTCTTACGCAAACAACAATCAATTCAATTAAGGCTGTTTTACGTAATAAGTATCTCAGAGTTCTCGCTGGCCCACGAAAATATACGTTTTATACAGATTTTAGTAAGCGCTTTATGTATTTTTAGACAGAAATTTACACAAGCCAAAAAAAAAAAGCGAGAGTCATATCTGTTCAGCTATATCTAAATAACTTGCAACAACAGGTTTACTGCAGTAGTATTATCTAAACTGGAAAATAAGTATGAAGCAGTAAATCATGCTAATACTGGCTACAGAGTGGACATTATCCTCGAAGAACAAATCCTAATAAATTAGAACAAATGTTGATACTCTGTGCCAACAAATTCCAATAAAAATGCATTTCCAATTTTCAGCCTGGGGCTAAGCATCTCGGTATGAAAGAATTGACAGATACCACCTTGTGTAGTATTACAGCGGAGGGGAAAACATGTAATATGGCTTGTGATTTAGACATGGTCAGTCTTCTCAACTGTAAGTTTCTTTCAACATGATAGAACTGTAAATAGGCTAATAAAATTATATGAAAAAAGGACACATAGTCAACCCTGCTATAACGGTCACCACTTGTCTTGTTATGTCGCCTTCTTTTGTCCCGTAGTAGAAATACAAGTATCTATGCATTTTAACCTCATTTCAAAGGTCACCTTGCCTTGTGCTTCAGTTTTCTCTGGTTCTAAAGGTGATCTCTACATACAGTTGTGACTGTATCTCATAATCTGGAATTACAATGGCATCTCTCATTATGGACCATTATGTTGGTTTTAAATTCAATTGCTTCTGTAAATCCATTTATAACGATAAAAACAAAAAGATGGTTTCTCTCATTGTTTCCCTATAATGCTTAAGTCATATTGATATCGGGTCTGAACTATTGCTATATATACGATATTAATGATATACATGTATAATGGTTTTCAACAGCTGATCTGACAAAATATTGGACCTACCTGGGTTCTTTGACAACGCCACCATTATATGAAAGCGTGACATGGATTGTCTTTCAAGATCCAATTGAAATGTCCAATGAACAAGTAAGTATTTAATTTTAAAAAATGAATCAGGTGACTGAATATCAATTTGTTGATTTATGCAGAAAAAACTGTCGAACAATATATATACGTTTACGACTGGTAAAAAGTATCAATGCGCTTCGCATTTTGAAAATTGCTTGAAGAAGTCAAATTGGAATCAGAAATGTATAAAATTTCCTGGAAATACACCAGTTGTGAAGCTTTATGAGAAAGCAAAAATAGGAATATAGCGATATTATAATTTCCTATTTTTTTCAAAAGAATAACAAAATCTATCACAGCAATGAACTTATATAATTAGCTACATGTACTGTCATCGCCTAAGGCTCACATGACGCGACAAAAGTTCTGTTCTCAAATCTTTAAGCTGAACGATGAGCTGTTGGTCGGGTTGATTCATTCTGGTGTGTACCAGTCATATTGGCTTTTATGTAAAATTATGAATTGCTAAAGACAAACAATTTATACAACAGATTTGCCATCATCGGGAAAGCCAAGAATGTATATAAACGACTTAGAGCATGCACAATGATGACGTAATGGACATATAAAGACAGTCTAGTGTTAACTTCGGGCAATTTTTGAAGCACGCGATTTTAATCACTTTATAAATCAGTTTATTTTTTGTAGTTGTTATTAATTGTATGTGTCACGAGTATCTTGTTTACTTTTATGATAATAAATATAAATAAGAAGATGTGGTATAAGTGCCAATGAGACAACTATCCATCCAAGTCACAATGTGTAAAAAGTAAACAATTATAGGTCAAAGTACGGCATTCAACACGGAGCCTTGGCTCACACCGAACAGCAAGCTATAAAGGGCCTCAAAAAGACTAGTGTAAAACAAATCAAACAGGAAAACCAAAGGTCTAATCTATATAAAAACGAGAAACACTTATGAACCACACCAACAAACGACAACCACTGAACAACAGGCTTCTGACTTAAGACAGATGCATAAAAATGCAGCGGGTTTAAACGTTTTAACAGGCGCCAACCTTTATCCTAACCTGAAACAGTGGTTTAACATTAAAACATAAAAAGACACACAATAAAATATCAATTGAAATTAATTAACTCGATCAAAAAGACAATACACAAAAACAAGTAAATATACACTGAACGAATAAGTTTGATCTATGACACAATATAAATAAAAAAGAATTTCATATGATAACAACTGTTTTTGTATTTGTAGTTACAGGCACTACGTAGCCTGAAATGTGGACGTAACTCTATAGTAGACAACTATAGGCCACCTGTTCCACTTGGCGACAGAACAGTCCGAGCATCATTTAAAAATTAGTAATAATAAACTTTAGATCCATAATCGGGAATCTCATCCTATGTACTTGTGTAATATATGGTTCCCGGTGTCTCCGATATTTTACAACATGCAATATTTAATGTTTTTAAAATTGGTGTTCAATTGCAGCGACATTGTACAATTCTTTTAATAAGTCATTTTATCAATTCTGCATTGGGTTCTAAAGATGTATTTCGATACGAGTCACTTCACTTTTAAGTAATACTCATGCAATCAAGATAGTCATTTTTTCTATGCTAATTTACATCCTTGTTCTCTGGTGTCTAATATTCAAGCATAACAAATCTACGTATGTTTTATATAGCTACCTTTTAACCTCATCATTGTTTGACGATTTTGCACTATACCAGAAAATATTGCAGCAAATTTTGAGGTTATATTGGAATAATACAGGTTTCTGGAATAGCGATACTATTCAAGTTTCATTATGTTTGATACTAAACAAAGGAAAATTTCTATTACAAAAATGATAAAATTAACAAGGGCACCTATATTACACGTTCTAGTAACAAAGAGATTTACCATATCCCAATACCCGAAAAAAAGTTTTAAACGAATACAGTAGGCATTACAAATATGTTAGGACTCTTAGAATAATTATAATTATACCTCGGCACATCTGAGAGGTTTACTTTATATAACCACGATTATTGTAAGAAGATAGATAACTCTACTGTTTTATTATTCCACCTGATAAGGAGAGTAACATGACATATTGTATTGTACTGAAAGTGTGTAAATAAGTGCTATTTTATTAAGTCTTGAAATGGTAATAAGTACTAAAAATTTTGAATTTTATTATGCCATGTAGCGTGCTATTTTATATAGTCTTGAAAACATAAGTGCTATATATTTTTATTTTGTTATGAAAAAGTGTTATTTTATAAAGTATTGAAATCATAAGTGCTAAATAATTTGAATTTTATTATGAAAAAGTGCTATGTAACGTGTTACAGTCTTATGTTTTACATTTTATTATTTACATATGTTATTATTCAGAGACAATTAAGAAACCCAAGTATTTAAGTGCTATTACAATGATTATAAATTGTGTATTGTCACTTTGTTTTTCAGTTGTTATACAATAATATTACCATACAAATGTTTGTGCATTTTACATATTTTGTCGAGAAATTCTTTGTTATGAATATTTATGATGTGAAATTATTCAAAATTGTATTTATAATAAAAGACATTTGGAGCATTTTTGAGTTATTTAATACACTAAGCCTGGTTTAAATCTCTGAACTAGTCAGTCCTTGGGACCTGTGTGCTGACCATTGAACAACATGTGTTATTTGTTGAATGGTTGGTGTTTTCTATACGCATCCTAGCTTAGCACAAAAGACTATATTTTCGGCAATTCAATAAGTAAGATATTTTCGTGTAGTGGTTTATATAAAAATAAGGAGTTGTGGTATGATTGCCAATGAGACAACTATCCACCAAAGTTCAAATGAAGTGGATGTAAGCAATTATAGGCAACCGTACGGCATTCAACAATGAGAAAAACCCATACCGTAAAGTCGGCTATAAAAGGCCCCGACATGAAAAGTATGAAGCAATTTGATTGGGAAAACTAACTGCCTCATTTATAACAAAACAATTTACGAAAAACAAATATGACAGACATGAACCAACGACAACTATATGTCATTATATGTGTAGATAAATCCTACTCGCTGATCTAGCTAAATAAAATGACCATTTATTGAAATTTAGAAATTTTTGGTTATATAAGAAAGGGTAAACAGGTGAGTGTCTAGACATCTACTTATATACTCCCGTTCCTGCAATAAAACCCTTTTAAGTGGGGCGTCCGTTTGGATCTGTAACGTGTAACGCCCTCTGCATGTTTAAGTACCCATATTACCTGAGGGTCTGTAGGTTGTCTGTTTCAAGGCAAATTTCTGTCCCTATCCAATTACAACATGTCCTCATTTTCCAGTGGCAGTCCTTCCCGTCCTTCATCCCAGTCGACCCTTATCTTGTAGAATCTACCTATTGTATTAATGTTCCCGTCCTTCATCCCAGTCGACCCTTATCTTGTAGAATCTACCTATTGTATTAATGTTCCCGTCCTTCATCCCAGTCGACCCTTATCTTGTAGAATCTACCTATTGTATTAATGTTCCCGTCCTTCATCCCAGTCGACCCTTATCTTGTAGAATCTACCTATTGTATTAATGTTCTCGTCCTTCATCCCAGTCGACCCTTATCTTGTAGAATCTACCTATTGTATTAATGTTCCCGTCCTTCATCCCAGTCGACCCTTATCTTGTAGAATCTACCTATTGTATTAATGTTCCCGTCCTTCATCCCAGTCGACCCTCATCTTGTAGAACCTACCTATTGTATTAATGTTCCCGTCCTTCATCCCAGTCGACCCTCATCTTGTAGAACCTACCTATTGTATTAATGTTCCCGTCCTTCATCCCAGTCGACCCTTATCTTGTAGAACCTACCTATTGTATTAATGTTCCCGTCCTTCATCCCAGTCGACCCTTATCTTGTAGAATCTACCTATTGTATTAATGTTCCCGTCCTTCATCCCAGTCGACCCTCATCTTGTAGAACCTACCTATTGTATTAATGTTCCCGTCCTTCATCCCAGTCGACCCTCATCTTGTAGAACCTACCTATTGTATTAATGTTCCCGTCCTTCATCCCAGTCGACCCTTATCTTGTAGAACCTACCTATTGTATTAATGTTCCCGTCCTTCATCCCAGTCGACCCTTATCTTGTAGAATCTACCTATTGTATTAATGTTCCCGTCCTTCATCCCAGTCGACCCTAATCTTGTAGAATCTACCTATTGTATTAATGTTCCCGTCCTTCATCCCAGTCGACCCTTATCTTGTAGAATCTACCTATTGTATTAATGTTCCCGTCCTTCATCCCAGTCGGCCCTTATCTTGTAGAATCTACCTATTGTATTAATGTTCCCGTCCTTCATCCCAGTCGACCCTTATCTTGTAGAATCTACCTATTGTATTAATGTTCCCGTCCTTCATCCCAGTCGACCCTTATCTTGTAGAATCTACCTATTGTATTAATGTTCCCGTCCTTCGTCCCAGTCGACCCTTATCTTGTAGAATCTACCTATTGTATTAATGTTCCCGTCCTTCATCCCAGTCGACCCTTATCTTGTAGAATCTACCTATTGTATTAATGTTCCCGTCCTTCATCCCAGTCGACCCTCATCTTGTAGAATCTACCTATTGTATTAATGTTCCCGTCCTTCATCCCAGTCGACCCTTATCTTGTAGAATCTACCTATTGTATTAATGTTCCCGTCCTTCATCCCAGTCGACCCTTATCTTTGTAGAACCTACCTATTGTATTAATGTTCTCGTCCTGAACATGCATGAAAAAATTGCCAATTGATGCAAAGCAAACAACAATTAATTAATATACTTGTATAATGTCAGAGACGCTAACAAACATACGAGTGAAAGACAATCTAAATCACATGAAATCCAAAGGAATGAAATCAAAAACATGGAAATGCATACGCATAATGTTAATTGCAGATTATTGATTGTTTTTTGGTTTAATGTATTCCCTACTTTTATAAACTTGGGACGATTGGGAGCTTGGCATATTGTATAGATGCCTGGGTATAGTTGAATATAAATAAGATGTGGTATGAGTGCCAATGAGACAACTCTCCATCCAAGTCATAATGTATAAAAAGTAAACAATTATAGGTCAAAATACAGCCTTCAACACGGAGCCTTGGCTCACACCGAACAGCAAGCTATAAAGGGCCCCAAAATGACTAGTGTAAAAGAATTCAAACAGGGAAACCAACGGTCTAATCTATGTAAAAAACGAGAAACGAGAAGACTGTATGTTACCCTCTAGATGTATATTGGTTATTATTGTCGTTGGGTTGCTGTCTTATTAACGTATGACCCACATTTTCTTTTACTTATATGGATAATTTTATTTTATTAGTCCAGCCATCATCCGTCACACGATTTCAAAGAACTGTCCTGTAGCGGAAATTCTTGCCCTGGAACAATTCCGATAAGAACATTAGACTTATTAAATCTACCTCCATATGATGTGAATACGCATGCATACATCTTTTAAATGTTCCTACTGCTTGATAGCAAAGTCCGGGTAGCTCATAACTTACTACAGCTCTATGTATGCACATGTAACCGCAGAGATATATTTATGCTAGTACAATTACGTATTTGGAATAACAGACCTTATAGCATCTGTCTTAAGTCAGGAATCTGATGTTCAGTAGTTGTCGTTTGTTGATGTGGTTCATAAGTGTTTCTCGTTTCTCGTTTTTTACATAGATTAGACCGTTGGTTTTCTCGTTTGAATGGTTTTACACTAGTAATTTTTGGGCCCTTTATAGCTTGCTGTGTGGTGTGAGCCAAGGCTCCGTGTTGAAGACCGTACTTTGACCTATAATGGTTTACTTTTATAAATTGTGACTTGGACGGAGAGTTGTCTCATTGGCACTCATACCACATCTTCTTATATCTACTTATGAATGTGAACGTGTCTGATTTTTAGTCATTCGGTTGACATGAGTGAATCCACTTTAGTTCGGAAAAAGGAATTATATAGATAATGAAAAGGTTAGTTTTATCCTACAGTACAGAAACAAAGACATCACAGATATGTATTCATACAGACCAGAATTTCATGAAAAGTAAGCTCTATACTAAGGGAATGACCATTAGATTTTCGTTGGGGAAAAGGGGGGGGGGGGGGGGGGGGGTCAAGAGGAGTTCGAAATAAATAACCTGGCCTGGTAAGAACTCAAAATAAATAACTTTGAACATGACAGGCAGAAGCTAAATGCAGGATAGATCAGGAGATAAATGATTTCAAGAGTGAAAATAAATGTCTGCGGAAAAAATAAGCCTGCGTAGCAAAGGATGAAATTACATACTAGTATTTAAATCCGGAAAATGTAATGGCGGAAGATGACGGTTGAAAATTAGAAACTGGGACCTAACGCGTTTATAGGTCAGTACTAGGTTCAAAATTAACAAAACACAATTGTTCTAACGAATAGCATTCACAACAGAAATTGAGATACATAAATTGGCAGTTCTGTCAGTTTGTCTGAAAGAGGGACGAAATATACCAGAAGGACAGTCAAACTCATAGATCGAAAACAAACTGACAACGCCATGGCCAACAACAAAAAGACAAACAGACAAATAATAGTACAGATGACACAACATAGAAAACTAAAGACTAAGCAACACGAACCCCACCAAAAACTGGGGGTGATCTCAGGTGCTCCGGAAGGGTAAGCAGATCCTGCTCCACATGTGGCACCCGTCGTGTTGCTTATGTTATTACAAATCCGGTAAATATTCTAATTCGGTAGGTCATATTCGCGAAAAGGGAAGGGTATTGTAGTTACGACATAAGGAACATATCCGATGTCATCTGTGAAACGGTTATTCCATAACGGTCAACCAACTCGTGATGGCGTCCGTAAAATTTACGAAGGGATGATTTCAACTTCACCATTTGGAACTCTTGGTTTAATAGCTTCCTTGTGAGCAGCAATCCTCTATCAAGGAAATGTCATACATCACCAGGTCATCATCATTTAATGACACATGTCAGTAAAATATGTTCAATTAATTGGAAGAATGTACAAAAATACGGATGTACTTATACTTTGTACTACCTATAGTTGATTTTAAAGGATTCAAAAGTGGTGTATTCAATAAAATTGTTTTCTGACTCAATATAAGGATTATATTAGAATAGACCACTTTAGACAAATATTAAAAGTGGATCGCGGGCGGAAATCTTGATTGTCACCGATTTCTTATGTAATGAGAGTATCACGCTGTATGCATGATAAATAACCCTTGCAGCAACTCTTTGAGTGATCTGTATTGTTGTCCTGTTGGTAGGCAAAATGTCTGTCCCTATCCGATATGTCATCCTTTTCAAGTGACGGTTCACATTTTACGCCCTTTATCCCGGTCGACCGACTTTGCAGAACCTGTTTACTAGAATTTGATTGGTTAATGTGTTCTCGTCCTCTATGTGCATAAAATATATGCGACTGTCATTGACGTAGCAAACATTAATCTATACTAAAGTTTGTAACATCATAGCGAACGTCTAAAATCTATTGGAGAGGATGCATTTCATGATCAAATGTCCAACATTTTCGCTTCAGAATGCTGTACCAAATCAAGTAAACAACTGCCACTCCCTAGTCACGAAGTCTCTATATAAAAATCGTCATTTTTGTAATTCTGGTTTTCTTGTCTACCGTAACGTTGTCAATGGTAAATGTTCCAAGAGAAATAACTCCATATTGTAATAGTGCAGAACAGTATAAATTTTATTTTAAACTAATTAGGTTAAGAAAATACAGTTACATAAATAAACAACTATGTTGTTAGTACAAAAAAATGTTGAGATATGAAAATACAATTTGATAATATTACAAAAATAAAAATGGTTGACGTTGTAAACTAAATCTATTTATTATACATGTATGTTGTAAATGATGATGAAAGTCATCCATGTTCAAGACGGTAAATATATAGTGTAATTCTTACACACCATACGAGGTAATGAATGGTTCCATCGAATTCTTTTTTCTCTTGTCTTGGTTTATCATCTAAAATTAAGAATTGCTTTAAAATCTGAAAAATAAATAAACGTAGTGCAATTGAAAAGTTGATTGAGTGGTGCTTAGCGACATAGGCATACTAAGTATACAATAGTATATCTGAATAAACTGAGATGTCAACGCGATAGCAATCTAAACATAACAAAAACATAAACGACACCGGTATAGAGGTTGACGCATAGTTTTAAACATGCATATTCAAGACGCAAAAATATTAATGCACTCACTGTGCAATTTGCAATAATCCGTGTGAAGACATATCGGCTTACCTAACGAGTCCGTACGCATTGTTTTTTTCCCCAAATTCCACATGTTTTCGAGTATTTGGTATTACCTGGCCGGTGCTGAAAACCGTAACAAACGCGAGATCGCCAAGTCCGTAAAAAATTATGAAGAGGTTGATTATATGTAGTAATGGTGAAATTTAGGTATTCATTTTGGTGCCAGCATAATATATTAGCTTATTTATCAATTAAAGATTTTAATATAAGAAGAGCTATATGTAAAATGAGAATAAGTGCACATGATCTTAAAATTGAGAAAGATAGATATAGTAAAAAATACATAGAGAGAACTCAGCGTCTATGTCATCACTGCCTATCACATGGATCAAATTCCATTGAAGATGAGACTCATTTTACAGTAAGTTGTCCTTTATATAACGAACAGAGAAAATTATTATGGGATAAAGTAAACAGTCTTTGTACTAATTTTAAAGAATTACCCAAGGATAAAAAATATTTCTGTCTGTTCACAAATGAGCATTTACCAACTCTTATGTGCCTAGGCAATTATATTATTAAGTGTTTAGAAATAAGATCCAGGTGGATACAAAAAATATAAAATAATATTTAATTATTATGAAATTATTGTTATAGTTATGTAAGACACATGATGTGTTAGGCTCTGATCCTGTCCATAATATGATAGTATTATATTAGGATCTAGTTTTTCTTTTTTCCAATCATATTGTGCTTAATAGTGTAGTAAATGATGCCCTTTATGGGTTCTCGATTATATAGATTAATAAAATTCTTATTAAAGAGGCACCCCGAGATAAGCATCGGAATTTAATTCAGTCTTGTCTTCTTTGAATTGTTATAAAGGGACCATTTTTCATTTAGATTCATTGACTAGTGTTTTTCTGAAATACCTTTTTGAACAGCCGTCCCGCCTATAACCTATGCTGACGTAGCAATAATCTTATTTTTTAGAACATTTTCTGCTAATATAATAATTTGAAATGGAATACTATCAATAAGTTGTACATACATTTAAATATGGTTACGACATGTAAGGAATATAGGATACACCAAATAATGTTCTTCCAATTAATTACAGCGGACTACACTCTGCTGCAGTCCGATTACCTGAACCTATTACTTTTATATATTTTATTAGATCCATGTGTGAATTGTAAATTTTATTTTATTTTTTTTGCCTTTTTAATGTTTCATTTATTCTGTGAAATCTAATCTGCACTGTCTTCTCGATTCTCTGTTTAGTATATTAAATCTAGGGTCTGTGTGATGATCTATTTATAGTGAATGAATAGACATAAACTATTACTATTTAGTAAGTATATACCCAACAACAGAACCATCAGCACAAAATGACAGACAGAGGTAAAATGCAGTTATGATTCATTCATTTAGAAGAATGTTGCAATTGTTGTTCTGTCCACACTTCATTTTGTATATTTATATTGGGTTTTATATTTTATTCTATGTTACCGTCTTTTGTATTTTACCATGGCGTTGACAGTGTCTCTCGATTGGGTCTTGGATGTACCAATGGTACCTTCAGCTTCTTTTTACAATTTATCTCTCGACAAACCTCTTTAATGTCAAAATATTGGGCTGTTTTGTTAAATTTTTTGGCTATGAATGCTTTTCTTGTTTTGTTTTACAATATAATGTTTGTGTTTATAACTATTACTTGAGTTCTCAAGAGAGGCAAAAGATACCGAAGGGACATTCAAACTCATAAGTCGAAAACAAACTGGTAATGACATGGCATGAAACGAAAAACGACCAAAAGACAAACAACAGTATAGAAAACTAAAGACTGGGCAGCAACAAGAACCCCACCAAACACGGGGGTTGATTTCAGGTGATCCGGAAGGGCTAGCAGATCCTGCTCCACATGTGATACCCGTCGTGTTGCTAATGTAAGTACAAGCCCGATATGATATCAAATGTTCAGTTCTCTGTTAACAAATTACCTGTATAGTTAACTTTACCATCTCGATCAAGATCAGCTTCTTTTATCATCAAATATGCCTCGTCCTAAAATAAATTGATATTATCAGATTTTTAAAATTAATTACTGTATACCAGTAACCAGATTTGGTAAAAAGTATTTATTTAACAGATACATATACATTCGCAGCTGAAATAAATATTGTGTACATTGAAATGTTGTTTGTCTTGTTATCACAATGAATATAATTTTATGTTTCTGTCAGTTTTCGCAATCTTAAAACATTTAACTACACATAATTTTAGTAGTTCGCTGTTAACATTTATAGATCAACCAAACATGGCTCGTCGTGAAATATCGGGATACACTCGTCAAAGATACCAGGATTAAAATGCACACCAGACGCGCGTTTCGTCAATAAAAGACTCAACAGTGACGCTCGAGTTAAAAAAAGTTAAAAAGGCCAAATAAAGTACGCAACTGAAGAGCATTATGGACCTAAAATCCCGAAAGGTTTTGCCAAATACAGCCAAGGTAATCTATTACTGGGGTAGAACATCCTTATAGTATTACGAAAAATTCAAACTTTGGTAAACGTGGATGTGTACATGGTTTTCTAAATGTTTTATTACTTGTGTTTTTTACAATGAGATTTTCGGGGAAATTATAACAATATTTTTGTGGTTTTTCCCGTTGTTGTTCATAATTTGTTAGTAATGTACCTCGATTGTCTGTATTCTTCAATGTGTTATTGACTTCTTGCAAAGAATTCAATCTAAGCTGGAGCTAGAATAACGTTGTGTGGTAAACTTTTGTCCTATATTGAAGGGCTAACTGCTACTTTAAAATGGAGAACCACAAAATAGCGTTGTTTCCTTAATTTGGATTTAGTCAATTGCGCATAAGGATTTTTTAAAAGAATTTTGAGTTTGTCGCTCGTGCTGAGTGGAGTTTCCATGTGCTTGAGAAATAAGCTGTGAAATCATGCACTCGTATGTCTTTCTACACTCTTCTTGTTTTCTACGTCACTTTTCCATTTCGGTCTGTATGTTTATGGAAATTGTAATTCTGTCCAGCATTATTCATAGTGATTTCGAGCCACGTTAGCTAACAAATATATTAATGTGACTTATGGTTTTCCAAAATATTTGTATGGTTTCTGTGGTGTTTTTTTAATGAGATTGTCCGGCAAATTATGGACGTTTTTGTTAAATTCTTTTTCCATTATAGTGTACAATTTTTTATTATTACACCGTATTCGTGTGCTTCAATGGACATATGAAGTTATATCGAAATCTAGTGTGACAAAACCGGAAGTAGGGGGCCTCTTGGAAGTAAGTTTTTTCTCCGTGCTGCTGTGTGATTTTTAAATTATGACAGCTATCAAAGCGTTGTTCTTATGCGTTGGATTCTGTCAAGGTCTTGTAGACGTGTTGTTTCAAGAATTAATGCACAATGTTATTTTTTTTCCATGACGAACATCAATCACTCTTGAAAAGGTTTTGAATGCATACCTTGGTAATCGATTCGCCTAGTTTGCTCAACACTTCATAAAGTTCCTCTGAAGATATAAATCCGTCTTTATTTTTGTCAAAAACACAAAAAATCTCATGAAGTTCTTTTTCGGGGTCTATGCACATCTTTTGGGCAAATATTTTGACAAATTCATCAAAATCAATTGTACCACTTTCTGAAAATTATAAAATTAATCTTATTTGTCAGAAACAACAAAATTTAATGAACAATTAGGAATGTCCCAAGGCGCGACGTCAAACAATTTTGTTAACGTATCAGAAGCAAAGTAATGCATCTGTAATATGTGTTTTTTTACATTACATTTAGTAAGATCTGTCTTGATATAATCAGTTACATAATTATAGGTTTTTTTTAATATTAGTTGGCATACAAATTTAGTTTGTGCACTCTTATTGCATTGAAGATAAACAAAAGGATTGGACAAAGGTAAATTAAACCTTACTTCTTTCATTATTTACACATACACTACATGAAAGGAAACAAAATAGTACATTTTATATAATAAAACAAACATTATATGTAATGAAAGTAATGTGCATAGCTATTATGTGTAAAGATGGCATCGCAAAAATTGCAAAAATCATCACATTTAGAAGTAACAAAACGGGTGACATAACCGCGTCTGACTTTGTTTATCCAAGATGTATACACTAATGCTTCTGTCAATTATATATAACAGACTACTATTTACTTTGAAATCTTTTCTGCCCAGATAGAACGAAAAAAGATTATTTTTTAGATGTATATACATTGAATTCATTGTTTCTTTCATCTATCCAAGGTCAATGACGTCACCTTGTATACATAAGATAACCAATTTATTTTAAATTTACAGAAGATATACGTTTTAGGAATAAAGACAGTCGTTGTCCGAGAAGAAAATGAATACGAAATTATTTTTGTTTTGAAGAAAAGTGTTTTACATTATACTAATAACTAGGAAATAGGGCTATTACTGTACGAACTTGTAATCTTTCACTGGTTAAATCTTAATGAAACTTTATGATCCTAGTGTAGTTGTTACTCATTAACCCTCGTCTGGTGTATATCATAAATGTTTTAGACTTATAAGTTAGATTATCCCTTTGGTTTCTTTCGCCTCTCTTTTGGCTAAACCGATGGTCTAGAAATTATATGTTGAGCCAAAACCCGGTCTGATCGTCGACACAATGTGTGTTCAATATAAAATGTTATTTCTATACAGCCGAATTGAAGAAAATATAATGTCCATTAAAATAGGTACATTGTCTATTGCAGCAGTTTTCAGTTTACCATAATAGTTTTGTTTGTTCTGTCGGAGCTTTCGATTTCAATGTTTTTCATATATCGTTGGCCGATTGGTTGACTTTTGATTGTGTTACATGCAGTAACAAAACTTACATGTATATTAAAGAAGAGAACAAAATGTAAAATTTAAGGAGATTGAAAGTTGACTGACCAAGCGAAAAGGCAGGAAGGCGGATTTGATGTTTACATGATGGTAATGGTCAGAATTGTGTCATGCGCCAGTTAATTAGTACCCATGGCAAAGTGGCTGTTAGGGACCGGTTGTGACTGTATTTCTACAGTGTACAGTTAGCGGAAGCGTCATCAGCCAAGGTTCTACTGATGCCATCATGGACAGGGCAGGGAAAGTCCAGTTACCCCACTGCTTAAATGCAGCTGAATTTCTTTGGCTTTCCAAAGTTTTTGGTTACTAGCTTAAAGTTTTCTTTATGAATGGTACTCAGGCCTTGAATTGTTTTACATTTGTCATTTCAATGCCTTTTAAAGCTTACTATGCGGTAATGGTTTTGCTCATTGTGGAAGTCCGTACGTTGCGGTGGCCTATTGTGGTTGATTTCTACGCCATTTGGTCGTCTCTGGTGGAGAGTTGTCTCATTACCACATCTTCTTATTTTTATATTGTAGAAAAGAACTTACGTAGCCAGTCAATTATTTAGGAATTTACTTTCCCGTTACCTAAAAGCACTATAGATATCTGTATATCCTAGTCTACGTAACCGTATGGGTAAAACATGCAAGAATATACCATTTGACGCAAGTTATCAAAATTCTATTCCATAAGTGCAGTCGTAGCAAGGGACAAGATCATCACAAGCAGTGATCTGTATAGAATAATGATATGTGGTATGATTGCCAGTGAGACTACTATCCATCAGTGACCAAATAACGTGTATGTAATCAACTACTAGTATAGGTCATCGTAGGGCCTTCAACAATGATCATAATCTATACCGTCTAGTAAGCTATAAAAGGTTCCGAAATGACAAAATGTGAAATAATTCAAACGAGAAAAACAAAGGCCTGATTTATGATAAAGCAATAAACGAAAAGCAAAAAAGACACCGCAACCAACGGCACCCACTGAATTACAGGCTCCTGACTTGGACAGGCACATAAAGAATGTGGTGGGGTTGAACATGTTTGTGATGGCTCAACCCTCCCCTATTCTTGAGCAGTAGTGTAGCAGTACACGATAAGATGAAGCTGTAAAAATCAGTTGGAAATGGCTTGACTCACCACTTACACGAAACACAAAACACAACTAACAAATTTACAAAAGGTACAATATACTTATCTATAAGAAACCCGAATAATTCAGTCATTATATTGCGCTGCTCTATGAACGATGGCTACATCGCTAGTGGGAGGGTCGATCACGGGGAGGGACTGAATTATTCGGATTAATCTATAAGAGTATTTATTCTCAGTTACTGAGTTAATAATCGCATTTATTTTCATTGAATCAAAAGAATTAAAATTGTGTTTAAGATAATTTTTTCCTCACATACACATATTATTAAGTAATTATATATAAGCACAAGAAAACAGGAAACAATTATTGTAAACTATGGTGTCATGTGACGGAAGGAAACCATACATTTATACACACACTTGATATCTACATATATATGCATCTGTTGTTTGTTTGTATGGTAAGTCAATTTGTAATAAGACAACAATTAAAATTTGAATTCATAGTATTGTATACATTCTAGGTACTAGTGGAAAGTGTCGATTTTCCACTCTCTGTACGTGCAGGGTCTGTTGTTTATTTTTTTCTGTGACTATATTGCAAATTTCCTTTCCAACCTTAAATGATTATCCCCATTTGTTGGAAGTTTACAAGTCAAGAAAACAAAATTAATTAATTTGAGATAAAAAGAGTAATGCTGAACACAAACCCCAAATACAAGTACAAATGTATCAATAATTTGACACGTCTACTTGTTCATTTGCATGCGTATTCCAAAGCCTGGAAAAGAGAAAACAAAAGAGAGGCATTCGCATGTGTTTAGTTAAGGTAATTTCAGTAAATTTTCACTAGAATACACACACGACATGCTTTACATTTGAAAGGATAGACAAAAGGCAATGGATCAGTCACCGAGCTCAGCTGGCAAAGACCTATTGCCAAAATCCTCCATGGATTATGAGTAAATCTGCGACATACTTTTATCAACAACCTGATAACATTTGTTAATTGAAATAACCAAAAAACTGTAAGAGGTTTATAAATATATAGTTTATCTATTTTTTACTTTACACTTTCTGTAAATGTATAATGCAAGAGGTATGTGAATATATATTTTATCTATTTTCTACGTTACACTTTCTGTCAAATATGAGATAAGAAATTTTGTTCTTACAACGAAGTCACTTAAAATACTTAATTATACTACACAGAAACAAAACAACGGTCAAATCGAATGTTTTTCTAGTGGATAGATGTTAACGGCTTCACTCACATCTATTTTATTGATTTGATAATTTGTATGTACACTTGTGATCCCACATATGCATGTTACATGTACATCATGTCGAAAACTAACTTTTTAAAAAATTGTACATGAGAAGGAAGTATCGATAAAACATTGTTTTCAACTAAGCCCTACGAAGATATTGATATATTAATATCGACTAAACTTGGGATTCTTATTAGCTTTTACATATCACAAGTACTAAAAAGTATACGTACTTCTTGTATCTTGTCATTTCTTTGAATGTGTTTGCCCTACTATAGTCGGAGGATATAGAGCTTAAACACATGTTTAATCGGACCACAAAATTTATGTGCATGTGCAAAACCAGACGCAAGTGGTCGCCGTCTTAGTGTTTTTATTCGTATTACGTTATTGGCTTTCCAAATATACATGAAGCAGTTCTTTTGATTTTATCCGGGGCCTTTTATAACTTATTTTACGTCTTTGTCCGTACATTGATGATGGCCGCAAGGTGGCGTGTAGATGAAATATATAGCTACATTTTCTGCATGTCTCAAACGTATCGTCAGATAGCAAATAGACAAAACATAGTATTATATGTCTCTGATAATTCTCAACAAAAACCTTTGCTATTTTACCTTTCAATTTTGATTTTCTGGGAAACCCCAGAATTCATTTCATGTTTATCGCGCATGAACATTTCACAGTGTAAACCAAGGCAAAATATTCTAACGGACCAATCAAATTCAAGTATTTGTAACATGCAAATCTTATAAGAATTATTGCAAATTAATAATAAATACTTACTGTCAGCGTCCACCGACTTTATCATGGTCTGGACCTCTCTCAATGTAGGTCGCTGTCCAAGTTTGAAGAGGACTGTGGCTAGCTCATCCGTTGTTATCATACCGTCGCCGTTCTGATCAAAAACGTAAAATGTATCTTGCAATTCTGTAAATGATACAAAGAAGCTTTGTGGAAAAGAAAACAAATTCAACCAAAAAAAAAATGCTTCGGATTGATTTATAATTTTTTATGACACTTTAGCTCAATTTGCCCTAATGCAATTAAAGGACCATTAGGTAGCTCCCTTCCAGAACGGTGTTTGGTGGCTCCCTCTGAAATCAATTCGTCGTTTTTTAGTAGATGGCGATTGATGAATGAATTATGACGGACAGACGAATATCGTGATCACTCTGTAGTAGTGTAATGTGTAATCCTTCCGGTCTATAATTCGGTTTCTTAATAGTAATATATGGGTGCCTATGCGCATGTATTCTGGTCAGTATCTCACTTTTAAGGTTAAAAAGTCCTAAAGGTCAAGAAAATATTTAGAAATAACGCGCATTTTTCATTTAATAACACATTTTAAATACTGCATGGTTATTATGAAATCGAATATACCTTGCACCTTTTCAGTTGTCATGCCAACCTTCTTTGCCACCATCTCTGCCTGTTTCCGTGAAACAACCTGAAAGTGAAGACAAAGCTTTAAAACATGCAAACGATCAGTGCAATATATACATAACATTGAATTAATTTTCAAAAGACGTAAAGATTAGAGCCAGTAACTTACCCCATGCACACGGTTTCTTCTGTCCATATCAATGGTGGTCCTCTTAATTTATCTCTGGAAAAAGATACAAATATAATTCAACAAAATATTTTAAAAATTTGTAAGTCTTCCAAAGAAGACGATTGTCGTCTGTCGTCTCATAATGATGTAAGTAAAAATGGCCAAGTCCCTCATTTGGTATGTGAAACCCCAAAACTCATTTGGAAAAAAAAAAAATAAATGGTAGATGCACAACGTCATGTTTTGTAGAAGAATCTTACCAAGTTGAGTTGAATTGTGTATAAACGTCGTTTTCAAGTACATGTAGTTGCGGATTAACACAGTGTGACGCAGACGACATACGGGATCCCCATGTGTCGCTACAGCGTCGCTTTCCATTACACACGAAAAGTATTTATATTGCAAATGATGTTCAAAAATTCTTATATAATGAGGTTGCTTTGCTTTATGTCTTTTCCTCGCTGCCTTGCATTAATTCAATTTTCGTAAGAGTACATGGAAAGGAAAAGTTGACCGATTATTTGAAACAGATCTTGTCTGAAAAGTTTTCTTGCACCTACATGTATAGCTTAATCTCGAATCAAATAATTGAATTATGTATCTGCATAAAGAAAGCGCAAAACTGTACTGTAATTATAATTAGCCGACCTCAGAAAACATTTTTGGCCGAGATTTTTTGAGTAATCAATTATCACGATTATTGAATTTCGTGCCAAAATAATTATACAAATTAATATTACGCTGTAGCTTAATCAGGTAAATTAATATGTAAGACGTGAAAATTTAAGATAATATAATATTACAGATGAAAAAGCAGACAAAATCTCGGATAAAATTACACATCGAAACTATAATGTACTGTCTTATCCATTATGTTAAATTTGACCAAATTAAAGTCCTGCCTTTGAAAATATTTTTCTGCTTTCCTTCCAAAAATATCGGGAACATATAAAAACCGTTCATGATTTCTGATTGCACTCGTGTCATAAAAAGTGCACTCAGGACATAAAAAAATAACTCAGGACATATACTTAAATTCAAAATCAAAATTAAAATATGACACTGAAAGATAAATTTATTTCTAAACTACAAGTGTTTGTTTTAAGATTATAAGAGCAATATTGATAAAATTATGAAGGTTTTTATCGGCACGTGCCATACTTCTGTGACATGTCAGTATAAAAAATAAGAGGATGTGGTATGACTGCCAATGAGAAAACTCTCCACCAGAGACCAAATGACATAGAAGTTCTGTAACAACTATAGGTCACCGTATACGGCCTTCAACAATTAGCAAAACCCATACTGCATAGTAAGTTATAAAAGACCCGAAATGACAAATGTTAAACAATTCAAACGAGAAAACTAACGGTCCGATTTATGTACAAAACAATGAACAAATAAAATGCTTCGCAGAGCGCAGCCTGATACGACCGCAGAGGTCGAACCTTAACCAGTTGGGGCAAGTTTGGACACAATATTCAAGCTTGATACTGTCTGAATTTGGATTGTGATCAAATTTTTGACATAATATAGGTTTCTGACACAAAATAAATGTGGTCAAAGAGCTAAAAAATTTGAAATGGGACATTCATTTTACCTAGAATGGTCTGATATCCAAAATCTAACAACATGGTTAGATTCAGCATATAAAAAAACACCAAAAAATTTAATTTTAGTTGAAATCAATCAAAAGTTTAATTTTGGACCCTTCAAACCTTAATATGGACTAATTTGAAAACAGGGCCCAAAATAAAAAATCTAAATACACAATAAGATTCAGCATATCATACAGCTGCAATCATTCAGTTTTTGATGAAATCAAACAAAGTTTAATTTTGGACCCTTTTGACCTCAATGTAGACCAATTTAAAAATGGGGCCCAATATCCAAAAAAGTAATACAAGGTAAGAACCCCCAAAAATTAAAGACTTTAAATGAATCCCATTGAAATTGGTTAAAAGATTTGTATTTATTTTCAATTGAAGATTTCTTGCTATTGCACAATACTGTGCAATTGAAGATTTCTTGCTATTGCGCAATACTGTGTAATTGAAGATTTCTTGCTATTGCGCAATACTGTGCTATTGTGCAATACTGTGCTATTGCGCAATACTGTGTTGTTGCGCAATACTGTGCAATTAAAGATTTCTTGCTTTTGCGCAATACTATGCAATTGAAGATTTCTTGCTATTGCCCAATACTGTGAAATTGCGCAATACTGTGCAATAGGAGATTTCTTGTTATTGCGCAATACTGTGCAATTGAAGATTACAAAAACTTTGAAGAAAAAAAATATGAACCCCAAAAAATTGGGGAAACCCCCCCCCCCCCTTTTCGCACCCTCCACCCCCCCCCCCCCCAACCCAGTACAATTTTAGAGAGATCCATACACTTACACACAAGTTATTGTCTGGAAACTAGAAAAAATGCAATGAAGTTTATTAAACTAAAGTTATTGGCAAATTTCCAATGAAATTTATTAAAAAATAAAGTTTTTGGCAAATTTCCAATGAAGTTCATTAAACTAAAGTTATTGGCAAATTTCCAATGGAATTTATTAATAATAAAGTTTTTGGCAAATTTCCAATATACATAATTTAAAAGCAGTTTAGGTGAGATAAACAAAAAAGCTCCATCAGCAACATTTTATATTGGCAAATTTCCAATGAAGTTCATTAAACTAAAGTACTTGGCAAATTTCCAATGGAATTTATTAATAATAAAGTTTTTGGCAAATTTCCAATATACATAATTTAAAAGCAGTTTAGGTGAGATATTCAAATGAGTTTCAATTACCAACCTTACACTGCCTTTTAAATTATGTTTTGTACTTAAGTAATTGTCCATTAACCTGGAAACCCTTTTCCCCCCTTTTTTGCACCTTATTCCTTAACGGTTTGAGCCATATCTCCCAAAGACAATTCTCACCATCCCTTTGTGGTATTCCAATATCCAAAATCTAAATCCATGGTTAGATTCAGCATATCAAAGAACCCCAAGAATTCAATTTTTGATGAAATCAAATAAAGTTCAATTTTGGACCCTTTAAACCTCAATGTGAACCAATTTGATAACCGGGCCCAAATATCAAAAATCTAAATATATGGTTAGATTCAGCATATCGAAGAACCCCTTATATTCAATTTTTGTTGAAATCAAACAAAGTTTAATTTTGGACCCCGATTTGGACCAACTTGAATACTGGGCCCATATTAAAAAAACTAAGTACATGTTTAGATTCAGCATATCAAAGAACCCCAAGAATTCAATTTTTGTTAAAATCAAACTAAGTTTAATTTTGGACCCTTTGGACCTTAATGTAGACCAATTTGAAAACAGGACCAAAAATTAAGAATCTAAATACACGGTTAGATTAGGCAATTACCCCCAAAATCAATCCCAGCCTTCCCTTTGTAGTATGGTACCTTGCAGTACAATTTCAGAGAGATCCATACACTTGAACACAAGTTATTGTCTGGAAACTAGAAAAATGCTTATTTTTGGACCCTTTTTAGCCCCTTATTCCTAAACGTTTTGGGCAATTACACCCAAACTCAATTCCAGCTTTCCCTTTGTGATATGGAACCTTGTAGTACAATTTCAGAAAGATCCATAAACTTACACACAAGTTATTGTCATGAAACTGGAAAAATGCTTGTTTTTTGCCCCTTTTTTGGCCCCTAATTCCTAATATTTTGAGGCAATTACCCCCAAAATCAATCCCAGCATTCCCTGTGTGATATGGATACTTGTGGTACAATTTCACAGAGATCCATACACTTGAACACAAGTTATTGTCATGAAACTTGAAAAATGCTTGTTTTTTGCCCCTTTTTTGGCCCCTAATTCCTAATATTTTTAGGCAATTACCCCCAAAATCAATCCCAGCATTCCCTGTGTGATATGGAACCTTGTGGTACAATGTCAGAGAGATTCATACACTAACACACAAGTTATGTCTGGAAGTTACAAAAATGCTTATTTTTTGCCCCTTTTTGGCCCCTAATTCCTTAACTGTTGGTACCATAACCCCCAAAATCAATCCCAACCTTCCTTTTGTGGTATTGAACCTTATGGTAAAATTTCATAGAGAATCATTCATTTAAACTAAAGTTAGAGTGCGAAAACCAATGTGTCTTCGGACGACGCCGGACGACGCCAGACGACGACGACGACGACGACGACGACGACGCCAACGTCATACCAATATACGACCGCAAAAATTTTTTGCGGTCGTATAAAAACAAATGTGATATACAGCAAGAAACGACAACCACAGAATTACAGGCTCCTGACCTGGGACAGGCACATGCATAAATTAATGTGGCGGGGTTAAACATGTTTTAAGGCGCCAACCCACCCCCTAACCTGGGGCAGTGGTGAGACAGTACAACATAAGAACAAACTATACAACTCAGTTAAAACTCAACAGATCGATAACAAGCAGAAAAACAACAAAACACAGACCGGACGTGGTAGGGAATTTATATTTCCCTCACAACAATGTGTATTATGAATATCAGTGATCATATTCCAATAAACAAGTGTTGAAGATGAAATATTACAATTTTAATTCTTTCATTTTTAGCTATAAGATAGAGAAAATGTTGAAGAAAAGCAAGGTTTAATTAAAGGATTCATATAACTTTAAAATTTATTTATAACCTCAAGCAATTAGCGCGTCTTGGTCACTTTTGATGACATGTTACATTGTTTGATCCTTAATAATAAGAAAAGATTCGTATACTCGGCATTGATAGACTATTTAATCTAGGAGCGCTGTTTTCGTCACGAATTTTATGTAGAGAACTCAAAGGTTATTAACAAAGAAAATGGTGATCATCATTTTTTATGCTATCATGGCTATTTTCTCAATTTTACGCTTTTCGTGTAAATGTTATTTAATGAATAAAAACCATGACATTTATATATTTGTTTGTCTGGTTGATTACGAAGCGTAATGTATTTTTACATATATTTGGACAAGAGATGACAATATATACTAATGGTTTTTAACCAGGATACTAGACTTTCACCATGATTTTATGTTATGCGACTGTCATACAAGTGAGATGTTTAGCTAGCTATAAAACGAGGTTTAACCCACCATTTTCTACATAAGAAAATGCCTGTACCAAGTCATGAATATGACAGTTGTTATCCATTCGTTTGATGTGTCTTGGCTTTTGCTTTTGCCATTTGCTTAGGGACTTCCCGTTTAGCATTTTTCATCAGAGTTCGGTATTTTTGTTATTTTACTTTTTTTATATATAAATCTTCGAAGTTTCTCGAGTTCAACACAATTTCGAGTTAAACATACTTGTCTGAATTTCATAACATTTATATTATTGTTACAATATTGTGGTAAGTATTTGTTTCTTTGAAATAATTACATGACATTATATAATGGTATTCGTCACCGATGTCAGCTGAGTCATAAATGGTCCTGAGTGCATTTTGTATGTCTTGATTGTATTTTGGAGTCCTGAGTGGTTTATAGAAGTATCGAAAAATATCTATACTAATTTACACTGTCACCTTGACAAATATTTATCTTAAGTTTCTGGACATAAAATGTTATTTTGACAAAAAAGATATTGCTAAGATCTTACAATGAAGTTTTTTTTTTTTTACTTTGAACTGGTTTTATAAATTATCTATCTAACTAATAATAAAAAAATATGGCGTAATTTATTAATTTATATACTGTATCTGCATAAATGTGACTTGCCAACACCGTTTGCAAATAATTTTAAGCATTCACCATTTAATCTATATATCATAAACATGTGTATAACGGAGCGTTTATGGTACGAATTAATCGGCTACAAATATACAGTTGTAAGATTTTTTCACAAATGTTATTAGAAAGTAAACAAACACTCACCATTTTGTTGGGTCAACATGCATCTCGTTATCGTGATGGGATACACGCTTGTAGAAATTCCTGACTCATCTGGCTGTCTGCACACATTAAATATATCAATCAGTTAGCAGGCTACTTACACAAAATACACATGTGATAACAGATTCCTCTTTCTGTTTATTCAACTTTGCCTTCTTATATCATTAATAAGTACTTGAAGTGGATCTTTACAAACAGATAACATTACTTTGCAAGCTATTTGGTGCAATTGGGAAAGCCAAACTTGCATAATTAGTATATATTCATTTGTTTACAAGACTTACAGTTATCCGTAGTAAAATGCAAATGACCACGATAATACCAAAGCTGTCATTTTTTTCATTTAAATTTCGCTTAATTTACTCTTTGAAGAGAGGTTATTTTCCTGGCATCTGTTTTAGGCATTGAAAAGAAGAAACCTGTCTTTTTGAAAACTACACCGTTTTCAACTATCTAGATCCGCATATGACACAATACATTTTCCCATACAAATTGTGAAATGAGTAAGACATGATAATGCAATTCCTCTTGACATTTTGCGACCACTCTTTTTTATCCGACACTTCAAGCACACTTTACTTGATTTGGGTTATATTTCGCGATGGACTATAATGACTATAGTAAGATTATAAAACTCCGGCAAGAAAATAATTTTTTTTTAGCGCAAATTCTCATTATTTTACTGCCGAGTTTTTCCTCACTTTTCTGTTAGCCCATCCACCAATTTGTCTTTAATTAAGTCTTGAATTCACCACTTCCAATAGGAAAATAAAAACCATAAGTCGAATAGAATTATAGGTCACTGTACGGCCTTCAACAATGAGAAAAACCCATACATTATAGTCGGCTATAAAAGACATGAAAAATAAAATCAAAATTATGCATTTCATTGCAACTTTGATATACATTTCTTTCACAAGTCATGTTTTGAAATCTTAGTATATTCTATAAATGAAATAGCGGTTTAATTGTTTGTTTATAAATCATTAAAACTCGTTACAGTCAATGCATTTGAATGGGGACATATAGTTGGAACCCCCCCCCCCCCCCCTTTATCCTGGGTTTGGAACCCCCTTTTTAAAAATGGCTGGATCCGCCCCGGATTGATCTTTTATTTGTGTCTTCCAGAACTAGATATTGTCTGTAGGGCAGGATAGTAAACATTTTCCCTGGGTAACTTCTTTCTGATAAATCCTCTCTATAGATTTAATAAGCCGATTAATTCTGGTAATCAGGTATCAAACAAGTCACACAATAAACAAACCTTTATGTTGACATTATCGAGATAACAAGATAACATATTAAAATCTTATTTATTTCGTTTGCATTGGAAAACATCGATAACAGGCGGAACTTGTAGCGACGCCATTTTAGGACAAACTATTTATAAAGGTAGGAAGATCTTTTAAAGCCATATACTCTACTCATATATCTCCGAAATTCTTGCTATGTGGTTTGGGTTTTGCTCATTGTAGAAGGCTGTATACCTCATATTTTCTATGTCATTTGGTCCCTGTTGGAAAGTTGTCGTATTTGATATTCGGTTTACCACATCGTCTTACTTTTAATTTGTTTAAGATATGTGTATAGTGATCGGAAATATCATCTTATCGTGAGTACTGTACACACATACATGTGGTATACACGTACATGTATGAATAACCTTAAGTGTTTACTACATTTGCACAGTCGTAAGTCATTTAAATTTATTTATGTTTCAACACGACAACCCATTTGATCTTTTAAAGGGTTTTAACAAAGTTGGCAAAATAAAGTCGATCGAGACTGCACGTTATAAGTATATTGGCATTCATTTTATCAATTCCTAGCCCAAAATTACTATATGGTTCAACTGATAGTTATTTAGACTTGCTTTACTATTTCAATTTTCAATGGTAGAGATTTTTATTGAGGGTGACAACTTATGCGAAAAGATGTTGACAACAAAAGATATATTTAATATTTAGCAATGTCACAGTCATTTTGAAAAGTTGTACTCTATGGCCTTAATATTTAATAACCATTTGATGTCCCTTTGGAATATGAAAAGTCCTAACTATACGGGCTACCAAATATGGAATGCTCAGTGACATTTTAATGTCGAAAAAAGATGACAAAATTGTATTTTTTATCAAGCATACAAATTAACCAATTTTACTTATTTTTGTAATAACACTTGGTTGGCTGTCCAACTTTTACTCGAGCTTGATGAGCATTGCCTCTGATAACTTAGTTCCATGTAAACAAATTAGTTTAACAATCTTTCAAATGCATAAGAATTGAATTATACATGTCCATGCTAATCATTTGAAAATGGTATCACTCATACAATAAGCTGAACTGTAAGCTATTGATACTTATGCTGATGAAATCAAAGGTACAGAGAATGACATACAAAAAAAAGAACTACACATAATACATGGTGTGGTTGAGGTAAGTTAACATTAGTGTAGTAAGAAATAAAATATGAAGACAACATGATAATGTGATTTAGTCAGGAGACAGAGAACCTATTTTTTTTTCTTTTATTGTTTAAATTATCTCTATATATTATTTTGAACAAATTATTTGATTAAAATCATTTGATCCTGCAGTGCAAAATCTAGTTGCAAAAATTACCTCCCCTGCAAACACTTAAAAAAAATAGAACTCTATACGATATTCGGATCGTTTTCCACAAGGACGCCACTGACAGATTTAATGTAAGTTAACAACAAAAAACGTTCTGTTAAATAGTAACAATGAAAAAAATAAAATAGAAAATGAACTACCATAAAATGAAATAATTTTCCTCGCAAAAAAGCAAACGATATGAATTACATGGAGGCTATACAAATTTGTGTAAAATTGGTTCAAAATGTTGCTATTTGAATACATTCCTCACAAACCACCTCATTTTGTGTTACTTGCTGTAAATGTCACTGAAACATGCTTGTTCTCATACATATATGCAGCTAGATCATAATTAATAATTATTTTTTTAATCAAATCGACTGAATGATGCAAAGATTAAAACTTTTGAGTCATGCACTAGGCAAGTTCAAACGGACCTTATTTCGATATAAACATTTAATGCGAATACATCGAGAAGACCGCACATATATGTTCAAAAATCAAGAAGAAGTTTTCCCCCAATTGTTTAAAAAAAGTAGGGTATATCTTTGAACAGGTTTGGACCATTAGCTCAAATTGGTTAAAATATAAGTTTTAGGAAAAATATAACAAAGTGCAAATTGAGTGAAAACTTGCTAACCAAAGGTTGCTTCTATTGACATAGACACACTAACTTTTGAATATGTTTTCTAAATATATACATAAAGAATTACACAATTTGGGTTTGAATACTCCAAACGGGTTATATACTATTTTGGCTGACTGGTCCACACCAGTTTAACGGATTATAATTTTTGTGAAAATAATTTTCCCTCAATTTTGAACAGACATTACTTTTTAATCGTTATATTCACACAATAATAAAATATTTATATTATATCAATAGGCCGGCATGCTACAAAACTTATTTGTGGGAAAAGGTAGATTTTGGTAAATTGTTCCATTGTAAGGACGAAGTGAAACACTATAAAAATTGGCGTAAGAAAAGAGCATTATATTTTGTATGTAGATAAATAAATTTTTTTAAAAATAACACTTTATATGTGATTTCGTGCGTCCGAAACGATTTTCTTCGAAAAAATATAAAGCTAAAGTTGTCTAATACCTGAAAACGCGAGGAACTATATATATATATATATAGTGTTTATTTTGATGTATATTTTATATATAACCAAATGGGACCTAAAAAGAATACTGTAAATTCAGAAAATATTGCGATGTTTTTATTATTGCGAAAAATGCGACAGGATTATAATCGCGATAATTTAAATCTCATTTTGAAATATTTTATATGATATAAACAGGATTTTTCTCAATATCGCAAAAATTAAAATCGCATTTAAGTTTAAAACGGCAAAATCGCAATAATAAATGCACGCAATAATTTCTGAATTTACAGTACTAGTCAAATTCATATAAGGTCAATTTTGCCTGATATATCAATATGCAGCAAAATTTATCCTTTATAGTACATATGCTTGTTTCTCAACCTGTTACATATATACATGGATATGTTAATTTCAGAAACCTGACGTTCAGTGGTTGTCGTTTGTTGATGTGGTTAAGAAGTGTTTCTCGTTTCTCGTTTCTCGTTTTTTATATGGATTAGACCGTTGATTTTCCTGTATGAATGGTTTTACACTAGTCATTTTTGGGGCCCTTTATAGCTTGCTGTTCGGTATGAGCCAAGGTTCCGTGTTGAAGGCCGTACTTTGACCTATATAGCTATAATGGTTTACTTTTACAAATTGTGACTTTGATGGAGAGTTTTCTCATTGGCACTCATACCACATCTTCTTATATCTATGGATATGTTAATGACGACCAATAGAATGTCAGTAGAGAATAAGTTGTAGTTATTAAAAAAGCATATCGGTATATGTCATTTAATCTGCACGGCTCGGATGACCCTTCTTGACCCAAACGAACTGTTTTAACACATGACGTCAACCATTTACATGAACGTTTTTGGGATATGCGGACATTTAATCCACGGATCATGAGAAAGTTCTCTTGTAGGGTATAGAAAGGGGAAAATACGCCTTTAAAAGGTTGGTTCATTACTTTTGAATTTTTTTTTTTTTTTCAGGCTTTTCCCGCTAATTGGATTGAGTGGCTGATCTTTGATTGTGTCTGTTAAATTTATTCACAATTTGGTATATATATAATCGGGACTATTTAGAGCTTGTCATATTGTGTAGACATCTGTCTATTGTTGAATCCTATATCTTGTTAGCTAGATGTTCTTTGGTTGTATTTTCGTTTGGTTGCTGTATTATTGACGTACACGACTGTCTGTATATCCCACATCTTATATAGTTCATATAATTTTAGTTCCGTTTATGTACTTAAACGGTTTATGACAAATCAGATCTTAAAGGGTCATTGAGAACAGATTAATTGCTTTACTTTTTATGCAAGAATATGCACAGAGGAATATTAATAGAAACTGAGATGTGACTTAATTTATATTGTAATGTAAACAGAAAAAAAACGTGGTACTATTAGTTCCCAGAGGCGGATCCAGCCACTTTTAAGGGCGGGTTGGGGTTGCAACCATATGTTTCCTTTCAAAAGCATTGATCGTCCAAAAAAAAAGGGGCCCCCCCCTTGGATCCGCCACTAGTTACATTGTGATAGTGACCTAATACGATATATACGGGGCCAGTTAATTCCATATGGGGTTCGAGCGAATCGTATTAGGTCACTAGCACACTGTGTAACGAATTTATCTTACCGACTATCTGAACATGTGGCATTTAGACTAGTGGCCTATCAAAGTGATCAAGTCCTCAATATAAGGAACCTATTTCCATTGCTCTATACAAAGACAGATGCCAACAATAACAACTTGTTAGTTTTTAATGTGTTTTCTGCATTTATTTCAATCGATCATCATCAATTTCTTTATCTGTTGTCCGGGTGAAACGTTTCAGATTTTTCCGTAATGTCGTGTTGTTTTTATAAAGGGACGTAAAGCCACTAACCATGTATTAAAATAAACCACGCTTGCTAACCCCATATTAAATATACAGGGTCTCCACGCGGTCACATTTAACCAATGATATTCCTAGAAATGTATAGGAGGTAAGATAAATTTCAATAGTTAAGTGTCTCCCTTTCCCCACATTTAAACTGTAATCGGCGACCAATTTTGAAGACCTGTCGCATCTTAACATAGTCTGATTGATCTATAACTTTTAAATTTTTCATGTTTTGGAACATACATAAATGTGAACCTCATTAAACTCGATCCGGAAATGGTCACTAAAAAGGAATAAATATTTTAAAAGTATCCATTAATTTCATTGAGCACAAAACTAATCCAAATAAGATTTTAATGATTTGGATATTCTAAACTTGCATTTATATTTTTACAGGAATACAAAAAACTAATTATCTAGTTTTACTTTAAGACACTGATTTTTAGGTTTACATGGTACACATGTACACAATATCATAAAATGTTCCCAGCTTTAGGAATGAGTGATACTTTTAAAACCTTTAATTTATTTCATATTTTGAACTGATTAAGTTTGAAAACGTATAAATAATGTTTTAAAAAAGTGCAAAATAGTTGTTATTTAATCTGTTAACACATGACATAGGCAAAATCTCTATGTTCTCGCTGTGCTATAATCTGGATAATGCACAGCTAAGGTGTGCATTAACTACCTCAGATATACTGCACTGTTCAGAAGTACTCTTGGCTTACAATAACGACATAGTAAATTAATCAATCAACAACTTGAGAAAATACAGAATAAATAAAAACAGGTATGATATAAAAATATTGACAATGAGACAACTGTCCATCAGAGACTAAATGGCGATAATGTAAACAGCTACTAGTAAAGGGGACTGAGCTCAGCAAAGATTTAAACACAAATAGTAAATGAGTTTTCTACAGTTAGCTACAGTGGAGATCACATCTAACCTCTCATTAGAACTGTCAGAATAATCTGTCATAGAACTTTTCTAAACTGTCCTAGAACAGTTCTACCCTAGAACTGTTCTAAGTAGAACTGTCAGAATCAGTTCTAGGTAGAACTGACCAAATCAGTTCTAGGTAGAACTGACCAAATCAGTTCTAGGTAGAACGGTCAGGATCAGTTCTAGGGTAGAACTGTCTAAAACTGTTCTAGGTAGAACTGACCAAATCAGTTCTAGTCGAAGAACTGTAAGCAGAACTGCTGACAGATCTAACCGTAGAACTGTCAGCAGAACTGACTAAATCAGTTCTAACCGTAGAACTGTCAACAGAACTATCTAAAACTGTTCTAGCCGTAGAACTGACCAAACCTGTCAGGATTGTAGAACAGTTCTAAATGAGGTCACTGCAATTTTTTAATAAATAATATATTCTTTTGACTTTTTTATATTTAAGACAAAGAGTTCTTAAAACTGTTCTATGGATAGAACTGATCAAATCAATTCTAGCCGTAGAACTGACCAAATCAGTTCTAATCGTAGAACTGTTCTAGTCGTAAATGTATAACTGTCTAAAACTGTTCTAGGGTAGAACTGTCAGGATCAGTTCTAGGTAGAACTGTCAGGATCAGTTCTAGGTAGAACTGTCTAAATCAGTTCTAGGTAGAACTGACCAAATCAGTTCCAGGTTAGAACTGTTCTAGCTAGAACTGTCTAAAAGGTGTCAGGATGACAGTTCTACATACTGTCCAAGATCAGTTCTCCTGACAGATTCTGACAGATTTGATGAGAGGTTAGAAGTGATCTCCACTGTACAAAAGACCCCGGCATGACAAAATGTGAAACATTTTAAAAGTGAAAACCAACGGCCTGATTTATCTACGTTTTTCGAATTTAAAAAAAAGTGTTGATACGGTTTGACGGGTAGGTTTGTGGCAGAAACTTAAAGCTATAGTGGAACCAAAAAGACAATATTGACCGCTAGAAATCATGGATATGTATAAAGATATCAAATCATGTGTCAAACAAGGAAATTAATTATCTGAGTTTTCAAGTAGTGAAATGGGTGTACGCCAAGGAGAAGATCTATCACCTTTTCCATTTGTAATTTTCTTAAATGACTTGGAAATCTTCTTTACCGAAAATAAAGTTTTTGAACAAAAGAATAATAACTAAAACGAAAATTTCTCTGTAATCCCATAGTTTAATTTCAAGTTTAAATATGCTAGAGTTTTACAATTTTTTTAGCAAAACAAGAATTTGGGAAGAAGTGGTGCTTTTTTTGTTTTGTTAATTATACATTGGTGATCAAATTTATAAAACGGGACAAATAAGTTACCTTGCGATCCGCTGTCATTTGTAGCAGCCATAATTAGAGGCTTTCGTTACTTCTTTGATTTAATGGTACTGTGATTAGTTTCAACGTGGTCCAATATAATTCTTGGTCTAGCACAAGCGACCATATTGGCAGTATATTTCTTACACTATCACATACACACACACACACATAAACACAAACGAAAGTAGAGACAGACAACTCATATGCTTTGGCTTTACTTTTATTATAAAGATGCATTTTCGCAAGCTTTTTTGAAAAACAACAAAAATATAAATGTTGTCCATTCAATACCATATGAACATTTTGTGTTCCTGTATACTCCGTTAAACATGATGTCAAACGTTTGGGAAGTTGAATTATTACATATCAAAAGTGACATATATAACCAAAAGGAAATATTGTGCTAATTTTGATATGTTGACAATTAAAGATCAGTTTATTTGGTTAATGAGTAATGAAAACAAGGATATCTTGTATGAAATGTGTGCTTTCATAAAACAGAATGAAAAATACTCATAATTCATACCATTGTTTGTGTTTTTTGTGTATTTTCTTTTTTCACTCAGAGCATTGGAACAAGTTGTGTTAGAGGCTGCGTCCAAATCCAAATATTATATACAGAAATTTTACACAATATATTACTATGTCCTTTAACCACCTGCCCTTGGTGGCTCCTGCATTTGGATAACTACATATTAATCTTATTTATGTGCATTAGCCACAAGGAGGACTATAATATAGTAATTCTTTTTAAGTATTAGTTTATGCTTGTGTTGTAAAGTGTTTAAGTTTTCATATTTCTGTGTATTGGCTTGAGTGTCCTTTAAGCACCTGCCCTTGGTGACTCCTGCATATGAACAACAATACTTTTGTTCATATATATCAGTCACGAGGAAGGACTTAACTCAAAAGCCTTTTTCTATAATGGATGTGATGCTGCTTCTGGTGCATGGTCAATAAACACTAAACATACTGGTTTATGTCACTACATGTATTATTAACTCAATTTATATTTCATGTTTTTTGTCAGTTGTATTTCTATTTTTTTATTTTCTTGTGTATTGTCTATTGCAATTGTGTGATAAAAAAATCAATGTACTGATTATGCCTTTAATGGGTCCTCTATTGGAAATAAAATTTATCTTATCTTATCTTATAACCAAAAAGGTGTTTTAACTATTACCACAATAACTTAGCCCAGATGCCTGAATGAGTTGAGTTTTAGGCTTGAGTAGAATTGTATAATTGGCATATAGTTTCGTATATCTAAAGATATGTCGGAAACGCTGATTTGAAGAATTTAACTGAACGACGAAATCAAATGTATTTATTTATTTTTCAGAATGATGAGGGGAAGAGTTGTAATAGGATTGTCGTTTTTCTTTATGGGAGGATTTGTAATGATGCTCATTGTTAGGAACTATCAAACACTGGAGAATGTACAGGACACTCGTGTACTGACAAGTGACGACACTTCCGGTAGTAAAAATGATCCAAAGCCAGTGTGTAAAGTAGATTTTACAAATGTGTATTCAATGGATTTAACAACGTGGCGTAAAAATAATCAAGTATGCAGCGAGTGTCAAAATTTTATAAAAGCAACTCTTAAAACTCCATACGGGAATACTCCGATTTTTGTGTATCCAGCAGCCCAAGATCCATGGGTCTCGGGAATATTAATAAGCAGTGGACACTTCGAAGCAGAGAAATCCAGTATAATGTTTGATTTGTTGAAATCCGATCCAAAATTAAATCTGGTAGACATAGGTGCTAACATTGGAGTTTATACGCTCTCTGCTGCTAAAATGGGGAGAAAGGTTTTGGCCGTGGAGGCTTTAGACAGAAATGTCCGTCACATTTGTACGTCTGTTGCCGAAGGCGGCTTACAGGATAAAGTCACTCTTGTTCATAATGCCATATCCAACAGTAATGGTGTTGTTAATCTAGGAGTAGATAAAAACAATATGGGAGGGACCTTTGTCGATGTAGATTCGGATCATATTAAGAAACTAAAGGAAGGCCGAGCCCAAGGAACATATGGTACTGTTCATACGATAAAAATGGACGATCTTTTAAAAATTCCAGGAATAGAAAACTTTCAAAATGTGGTAGTTAAAATGGACATAGAAGGCTTTGAAGCTAAGGCCATGGAAGGGGCGTCGTTATTTTTCGAAAAAATAAAAATTGTTGGTTTTATCATGGAATGGGAATTCCATAGAAAACAAAAAAGTGCAGATACAATTCTTAAATTCATGAGTAAACACAACTTCATACCACATTCATTGAGCTCGGCAAAACAAAAATTGGACTACACAAAGTCTGACTCGTGGGGCTATGATGTATTATGGTTACCAAAGGGGTAGTTTTCATACATTTGTTTAGGGGAATAAATATTTAATATTAATCAGTTTTATAAGACTATTGTATAAGGCCACATGTATTACGGTATACCGTCTGTTTCTCTATTCGTATTCTCACAAAAAATCAAGGTGTTCTTAACACACAATTAAGAAATTAAGCACAATGTCAAGTTCTATTATCACAAGCTCCCTTTCTATTTGAATTTTGTATGTTTCTTGTCAGAATTATAATAGTTGAACAATTGACAATTTGGAATATGTGTCGCCACAACTCACATTTGAATTATTGGGTACTAGTGTTAACGTTTATTTTGTGAAATGAGCCTTTTTCATGAAGAAAAGCTTCCTGTCGACAATTGAAAAATTGTCTTTCTAGAGTTTTATTAAAATTCGTACAAATCTCAGTATTACTCACATTAAACCTTGACGTTGACCTCTAGCAATCTGTATCACTCATTATTTATATAGTATGTATTTTAGTCCTCTATTTGTTACTTAGAATATAGCAAAGTACTCTCGACCAATGAAATTGTAGGATTGGATGCCTCTTAATTGTGAAGAATGAATGTAAATCATGTTCTTAGTAAGGGATTATCCTATTATTTGGGTCTATTTACAGTTCAAAACAAAGAGTTTCTATAAATGAGTTACAACTGCCCCGAAGCACATTTATCAGATTGAAAGGATTTATCACAGAGTGATTGAAACTGACTAAAAGTTGAATTGTGAAACAAACAAAAATCTCAAAATAAGTTGAAGTTTACTGGTGCAGTAAAATTGGTACCGTGAATGTTATTATGAAAATATCAATAACTTCAAATTACTATAAAATTAAACAATACCAAAGCAATGTAAAATAAAGGAAAAAAAACTTTCAGATAAAAAATAACCTAAATCTTTAGCTTTCCAAAACTTTGATTACTTGATCAGCGGTTGGGGAGAATAGTTATTTCCAATACATGTATTCCGATAAAAAAAAAAAAACAGGAATTTAGTTTTGTACATATTAAAAACTTTTAAGTGCATTATTTTTGAACATTTCCCTGACATATTAAAACAGTATTTGATGTAAAAAGCCGGACCAAATTATTGGTTGTGAAATAAAATTTAGTTGTAACTCAAATGTATAAATTGATTTAAACTGTAAATAAAAAAAGGATAATTCCTCACTAAAATATTACATGATTTACATTCATACTCACAATCAGGAAACATACAATTCCTACCTTTTCTTTCTACTTTTGTGTCACCTAATATCTATAACGCATTTTTTTTAAAATATTTCCCAAATGATAAGAAAGTCCTCATATCACTAAAACTAATCCATAAATGACATGCCGAAAAGGGAAGTCATGCATCAATTATAAACATTGCACTGACAATGAAACTAATTGATATCATTTGAGCCTTGAGCACTTTACAATATTCTAAGTTTGTAAGAGAATGATAATCCCTTACTTCATGATAAGTACTCGCTAACGCTCGTACTTATTCATGAAGAAAGGGATTATCATTCTCTTACATATACTACGTACATAATTTGTGCTCGACAAAAACCAAATCCTGTATTTTGATTGGTTGATTTCTGAGTCTGAGTACGATAATCGTGCTCTAAATTTTCATGACCGTAAGGCCAGATTCAGATGCTATTCTATAGTTCTATAGTCGATTTTGTCGCTACATGCAACACGAGGACTTAAGCACACACTAGTACTATACATGTCATTTTATTTCCAAATTAGGTCCCATATATTTGTAATAAATAATATCTTTCACAAGACAAACATTACTCTTGACAGATTATAGAATATTAAAATCATATAAATAAATATATAAGGATTACTACTCCAGAAATGTGGCAAATGTCTTTTTACTTATGTTATACTTAAAGTACGAGAATTACTAGTCACGCAATAATATATTGCGAGAATAAAGTAGGTTTCCCTACTGCAACAAACACCAAGGAAAGGCGTTGAAGGAACTGCGTGCATTAAAATAAATAATACTGTATCTTACACAGTCATGCTCGTATTTGAAGCAGAGAGAAAAGTCACACTACATTTTAACTTGTAAAAATATATCTAGAACAACATTGAGAATTGTTTAGATTTCTCAGATCATAAGCCATTGTTCTGATTTAGTGCCCGTTCCAAGAAAGGAACTTCATAGATCGTATTCTTACGTCATACATTGATGTTTTCTGTTATATGGAGAATTTGTGTTGGTGGTATATTTTTATAGTTTCTGTATGATTTAAGATTTGGGACGATTCAGAACATGACAAATTGTATAGACAATTTATTGTTGAAGACTCTATGGTGACCTGTATAGCTTATGATCGTGTTGTTGGGTTGCTGTCTCATTGATGTATACTCTGAATGTCCTTTCATTCACTAGTACAATTAAATCAAATGGTTAAAAAAAATACATGTCTACAGTCATATTCAAATGAATAAACAGCTGCGCCCTGCGCATATAAAACGTCCGTCACGAATATTTTGATGCTTAAAGTCTATAACTTCAGTAGCCATTTTTACCAAAATCTTACACACAAAATCACTTTTTACACATGGAAAGTTCAGTACAGTTAACTTCATTAGTCATTTATAATTGCTACCTTGAGCTACATGTAAAGTTAGAGCTCTGTAGTTGTATGAAGGAAAATATAATTAAAGTAATCATACATATAATTTAACGGCTTCCGGTGCATGTTTTCCCCACAGGTCCTGTGTAAAAATACATTTAGACCATAAATGAAATAAATGTACCTGTTAGTTCGGTGGAATAAATTTCTTCTATCAAACATACATCTAAAATAAATTTATTTAGCAGTTAGCAAGTGGAAAGGAATGTCTTCTATCAAACCTTCAATGAAATATTTGAAGCAGTTAGTTCGTTAAGGTGGTACCAAACACCTTGACTAAAATTAATTTGGCTCGTTTAAGTTTCATAAAATTTTTACAAAATATTAACTTTGACACTTTGAAAAAAATGTAAAAATTTCAAATAATTTGAACCACACACTTTATCAGAAAAATTTCATTGGATATATAGCAGTTTAATAATCACTAATTTTGATCATTGAGAAGCTTAATATTTCCTTAACAATAGACTTGATTAAAACGTTCAGCTGATTTTTACAGAGTTACCTCCCTGTAGTGTTATGTACCACCGTAATAGAAATTTCTTCTATCAGACCTACATTTAGATCTAAAATGAAACAAAATTGTAGCTTTTAGTTCGTTGGAAGAAATTTCTTCTAACAGAAATAGACATAAAATGAAATAATTACGACAGTTAGTAAGTTGGAAGAAATTTCTTCTATATCAGACCATTATCAGATACATGTATCTTTAATTTCGTTGGAAGAAATTTCTTCCATCAAACTAAGACTTTAAAAAATGAAAAACATGGAGAAGTTAGTTCGTTGGAAAAAGTCTTCTATCAAACCAATAAGAAATTCCATGAATGTTTTCCAAAGTTATTAATGTCTGAAAAAGGGTAATTAAAAGAAATAATAACTCCAGAGTCTATCTAAATACTGCATACCAAATAGCATTGACCTATCATTATTGGTTCACCTTAAACCGACCTTATCACAAACTAATACATGTAAACTTAGCAAAATACATAACTAGTAAATACATATGAATAAAAAAAAATACACATTTTAGTAAGCTATGAACATGAATTGTACAGTACATGCGAATCTATAAAGCCATGTTTACGAAATAAAAGTACATTTATGTCTGGTACTTTGAGGTCTGGTAATATTCTTTAATCAACCTAACTACTGTTTAAATACACTCTTTCATTCATAAGAAATGAAGCAAACCTTCTATTGCAGTCCCTGAAATTAAAAAAAAAAAAAAGACAAACGAAAACTATACAAAACTGTCGGAAATTAATATGCATACATCGAATTCCGTTTATTTTTTTTTTATATAAAGTCATACTTTTTTTTTTAATATCTCTAAAGATCAACCAAAAGCACCAGAAATATGATATTTTTACCAGGATGAAAGGATTTAATAAACTAAGGAATATATAAATAGAAAATATAAATTCTAAAAATTACAATGTAATAATAGTTAACAATGTCAGAAAAAAAACCTTTTAGAACTATAAATAATTATTGAATACACTAGTTATCTGAAGACTATTCAAATATAGTATCCTTTTTTCAAATACAATAGCGTTCATAGGATTAAAGTAATGGTAAATAAATACTGACCAGATTAACTCTAGAACCCTGTAAATGCTTTTTAATCCAAAACAGTCCAAAATATCATATTGAGACATATAAACTGTCACAGATTAGTAGTATATGTTTGTGTAGTACTAGAAGTGTTAGGAAAGGGATTTAAATACTGTACTGATGTTAAATAACAATACCAATACAAGATTTAAGTGTGGACTTTCTCAAAATGCAATTGCATTGAAAAATATCTAGGTGTAGTATAGTTTACCATTTTGTGGTGTGTTTGGTACAATATAGCGAACAGTTAACGTCCACTTAAAATTTTGAGACTTGAATGGGCATTTCATTGATTATTAATATAGGTATATGCATTTTATTGATTTAGGAGTGCAAACAAAACTTTCAAAAAAATAAATAAAATTGGTAAAGAATGGGAATGATGGATTTTAAATACACAAGCCTTAATATACTTTGAATGATATGAGTAGAATATGTCTAATAGTCAAATAACTCAGTTTGTCACTCCACAAGTCAAGCACACAGTTACACAATTTGATTTAATTCGTGACTTGGATGTCTCCTCAATGTTTCGATAGCCCTAAATGTGTTTAAACGTCCGATTGCGTGTTCAACAAATATAATTGAATTTGGAACATTCCGTAAATTTAAACAAAATTCAAATTGTCGAATAACCTCTGTGATTACGGACATTATGTACATAACAAATTTATTAATTTTGTAAAACATGTTTACTTCCGTACTCCTAACAACACAATTATTATATTTAAATTTACCTGTGTACGTTGTTTTATTTAACGCCATTTTGTCCCAGGTAAGAGTTGT